CATGATCAGGTGAATCATTGCTTTCAGGTATCTAGTGGGGATGCCAGGTTGGCAATGGCAGGGTGTGTTTAGGAGAGCATAACTGCTCACTTTGTGGACAGGAAGAAAAAGAGAGGAAGAAGAGACTGGAATCCTATTATCCCATTCAAGGACATGCTCCCAATGAGCTAATAACCTCCCAGTAGGCCCTACCTCTTAAATGCCCCACCATCTCCCAGTAGTACCAAACTGGTACCGAGCTTTTAACTCATGGGTCTTTGGGCGGACATTCCAGATCCAACTATGATAAGTAGCACTCAATATATTCTGAATTGACTGGTGTTTTCTGTCTTCTTCTGATCATAGAAATTCATACAACTCATACAATTGTTACTATAAATAATGCATGAAGGAAAAAAGACAATCTTTATTAAGCATCTTGTGGTCTCATTTGTAGGGCACTCTGAATAAATTCAAGAAAGCTATCTAAATCTACTACTTTTGAGAAAGGATAAATCATACATAGGGAGATAAAATATTAAGACTGGTAAAGAAAGACTGAGAACAGTTCAAGTTAGCAAAGTTTACTTGAGCAAGAAAAAGGTTCTAGAACCTAGTAGCAGTCCAAAGGGAAGATGGTTCTGAATGTTTTACTTCCCACACGTGCAAATCATATTTACAGCCAGAGGAAAGGCAGTCCCATACAGAAACAACTTGGTTGGTTGGAGTTGGCACTTGCCTTATTTAAATGGTTATGTTTTGGTAGCTTTCAGTCTCTGATTCGCGGAGAGTTCAGCTGCTATGATTAACTGAGTCTCAGTTGCTTGGGTCTTAGGTTACAATTGTTTACACAGCTGGACATGATGGTTCAAGCCTATAATCCCAGCACTGGGAGGCTGAAGCAGAAGGACTCTGAGTTTGAGTTTAGCCTGAGCTACATAGCAAGACTTACTTAAAAAAAAAAAAAGCTCAGCTCTAATTCAATATATACAGAGGTCACTTCAGGCCAGTTATCCTTCAAGTACAGAGGCTGGTTTAGGTCAAATTTATTTTGCTTCAACAAGCTAGAAGAGGCTTCCAAAATATTTTTCCAGTACATATTTTTCAGATGATAGTTTTTCTCTCCCTCTTTCCTTTTCTCTCCCTATTATCTCTCCTTCTCTTCCCTATTTTTGGTCTGATTCTCCCTCTAAATAAAATACACACGAAACTACATGATTTGTTACAGACAGCTCACATGTGATTTTTACACTCAATATATTTAAAATTATTCCTTTTTTATTGAATTGTATAATCCAAATTCAATTTTTGGTCTAAACATGATAGTTTTAGTTTTTAATCACAATCTTTGACTTGTGGTCTAATAGCAGGTAAAAATGGGGCTTGCATTTTGGAAGATACAGTTTTGATGGTTTCAACATCCTACATTTGTTTTAAAGAACTTGAATGGGTGAAAAGTGAAGTATGAACACAAAAGTACTGCTATATCAAATATTCAACATAGAAGGCTCAGCAAAGAAGCTCACACCTGTGATCCCACCTACTTGGAAGGCAGAGATAGGAGGATCACAGTTCGAGACCACCCTGGACAAAAAAAAAAAAAAGGTTTATCAAGACTCTATCTGAAAGAACAAGCTGGGGATGGTGGTGCACATCTAAAATCAGAGCTACCTGGGCAGTGTAAGTAGGAAGACAGTGATCCAAGGTTAACCTTGGAAAAAAAATGTGAGACCTTATCTGAAAAATAACTAAAGTAAAAAAAAAAAAAAAGCTAGAGGCATGGCTCAAGTGGTAGAGTGCTTGCCTAACATACTGCAAAACCATGAGTTCAAACCTCAGTATTTCCAAAAACACAAACCAAAACAAAAAAATCCTCAATGTACAAATTGGAACATCTGGAAAATTGACTCCTAACAGCAAATCAAAAAAATTTTGGGGGTGGGGATTTTCACAAAATTAAAATGAAGAATATAGCAAATCTAACCATTGGGGAAACATTTTCTTCACTAGATTTCCATGAAACTCCACTCTCTTGATTTTCTTTTCTCATTCTCCTTTTCTGAGCCCTTCTTTTCCACCAGCCTTTCATGTGAGACTGCTCCAGGGTTCAGTCCCTGGTTCTCATCTCTTTTCCAGTTCTCAATCTATACTAACTTTAATGAGTGAAATATTAAAATATTATCTACATGCTGTTGCTCCCTAATTTTTATCTCTAGCCCGTATCTCTTTTTCCTGCTGCAGAATCATATGTCTCATCTGGCTCCTTGACAACACCAATCAGATCACATTTCCCAAAATTGAAATTTTGATCTTACTTCTCAAGTTTGCACCACCTGAAACCTATCCCATGTCAACTGATTGGTCTCCATGCATCTGGTTGCTTAGTTCAAAAATCTTCTTTTCAAATTTGGAGGCTACTTAAAAATCTAAACATTGATCTACCATTTGATCCAGCAATACCACTCCTGGGGATATACCCAAAAGACTGTGACACAGGTTACTCCAGAGCCACCTGCTCACCCATGTTTATTGCAGCACTATTCACAAAAGCCAAGTTATGCAAACAGCCAAGATGCCCCACTACTGATGAATGGATTAAGAAAATGTGGTATCTATACACAATGGAATTTTATGCAGCCATGAAGAAGAATGAAATGTTATCATTCACTGGTAAATGGGTGGAATTGGAGAACATCATTCTGAGTGAGGTTAGCCTGGCCCAAAAGACCAAAAATCCTATGTTCTCCCACATATGCAGACATTAGATCAAGGGCAAACACAACAAGGTGATTGAACTTTGATCACAAGATAAAAGCGAGTGCACACAAGGGAGATATGAGGATAGGTAAGACACCTAAAAAATTAGCTAGCATTTGTTGCCATCAATGCAGAGAAACTAAAGCAGATACCTTAAAAGCAACTGATGCCAATAGGAGAAGGGGACCAGGAACTAGAGAAAAGGTTAGATCAAAAAGAATTAACCTAGAAGGTAACATACATGCACAGGAAATCAATGTGAGTCAACTCCCTGTATAGCTATCCTTATCTCAACTAGCAAAAACCCTTGTTCCTTCCTATTATTGCTTATACTCTCTCTTCAACAACATTAGAGATAAGGGCAAAATAGTTTGTGCCGGGTAGCAAGGGGGTGGGGGGAAGAGGGAGGGGGCAGAGTGGGTGGTAAGGGAGGGGGTGGGGGCAGGGGGGAGAAATGACCCAAGCATTGTATGCACATATGAATAATAAAAAAATTTTAAATTAAAAAAAAGTTCAAAATCTTTTATTTTTGTGGCACAGGGGTTTGAACTCAGGACCTCACTCTTGCTAGGCTTGAGTCACTCTGCCAGTCTGTGATGAAAAGTCTTGGAGTCATACTTGACTCTTCTTTCTTTCATGTTCTCCATTCAATCATCAGGAAATTTACATTCCAGGAGAATCTGATCACTTAACACCATATTCACTAGACATATCCTGGCTTAAGCCACTGTCATTTTTCCTCTCTTCCCACTCCACCCATTTAACCACAGTTTCTTTTTAAAGGGGTATGAATGATGTCTTTAAAATGCAAGTTGAGAGGGCTGGGAATGCACCTATAATAGATTTCTTGCCTAGTATGCTCAAGACCTTAGGTTGATCCCCAATACAATAAAAATAAAAATAAATGATGATGTCCTCAGTGCAAAGGAACTAATGCAGAAACTTTAAAGGGACAGAGGCCAATAGGAGAAGGGGACCAGGAACTAGAGAAAATGGTTAGTTCGAGAAGAATTAATTTAGAATGTAACACTTATGTACAGGAAAGCAATGCAAGTCAACTCCCTGTATAGCTATCTTTATCTCAACTAGCAAAAACCTTGTTCCTTCCTATTATTGCTTATACTCTCTCTTCAGTAAAATTAGAGATAAGGGCAAAATAGTTTCTGCCTGGTATCTAGGGGGTGGGGGGGTGAGGGAGGGGGTAGGGGGGAGAAATGACCCAAACATTGTATGTACATATGAATAAAAGAAAAAAAAAGAACAAACTCAAAATAGATAAATTAATAAATAAATGAAATAGAATGTAAGATCCTATCACTCTTTTTTTCCCACAAAATCCATAAAAGATCTGTATCTTCTATAGAAGACAAAGTCCTTACTTTGGCTACAAAATATGTCCAGTTTCTGCCCCTGTCCACTTCTTGCTCTCCACACTTTTCATATGACTCCTGGAGTCCTTTGTGTTTAACAGTCCAGGCTTGCCTTACTGACCAGGAGCCTCAGAGCTGGCTGTTTTCTTTGCCTGGATATCTTTTCTCCTACATAACCAGTTTTTCTCACATTAATGCTCTTCTTCCAGGTAACTTCCTTCAAAGTTTGGCTCCATGTAATTTTCTCAATGGAAGCATATTCTGACAATCTTCCTTAAAATTGCAGTGTGTCTTCATTTTTTCATATCTTTCATCCTGTTCTGTTTTGTCTGTCATGTATTACTTTACAGGTTACCATACAATTTATTTATCTGTGAGCTCATTTTATATTTTCAGTAAAATGCAAACTAAATAGGGCAAGGATTGTTTTGTTCTGGGCTGGACACATAGCAGACACTCAATGAAGGAGTCCACAAACTCATATTTTCACGGCTTATTCGGTTGAGCAAGCTGTCTATACTTTCTTCAAGCCTTGAGTTTCAGCACTTTATTTCTTTATTCATTCATCTATTGGTGGTACTGGTTTTTGAACTCAGGGCTTAATGCTTGCTAGGCAAGTGCTCTGCCACTTGAGTCACTTCGCCAGCCCTTTTTTGTGTTGGGTATTTTTGAGTTAGGGTCTTACTATTTGCCCGGTTGCTTTTGAGGAACGATCCACCCCCCATCTCTGCCTTCTGAGTAACAAGGCTTACAGGCGTGAGTCACCGTGCCAGCACTTTCTTAAACGCCTAAAACTCATCAACCCGTCTTTACCAAGCCCTGTGATCCCGGAAGTAAAAGCATAAAGACCGGCTCCGAGAAGAAAGGCACTTCCGTTTCCGTACAGAAGCAAACATGGTGAAGGCCAAGGAAAGGAGTGGCGACAGCGGGAAGAAAAGTCTGAAAAGGAAAGCCGCTGCTGAAGAGCTTCGAGAGGCAGCGGTTGCAAGGGATGCGGCGACAGAAAGCGGGGTGCAGCCCCCGAAAGCGGCTGCCCTTCCCCCAAGCTTCAGCATCTCGGAGATTAAGAACAAACAGCGACGACACTTGATGTTCACGCGGTGGAAACAGCAGCAGCGGAAGGTAAGCGCGGGCCGGAAGCGGCGGGGCGCATGCGCGGTGCCTCCCCCACCCCCGTGCAGGGTTGTGGAGTGCAATGCATGGGCGATTGATTGGTCAGCAAGGGTGATGTGGTGGCTTCAGCTTCCCGGCCCCTTCGTCCTGTTTCACAGACACTTGCCTGGGCGTCAAGGTGAAGGGTCCCTGCCTTGCCAGCTCGTCCCTCAGGTCCTGGGCTCAAAGGAAAGCCGGAAGCTCTGCTCCCCTTACTGAAAACTACCCGCAATGCCTAGAAAGCACAAGGCTCCCTCCCCTGTTTTGCTCAGCCTGCCCAACTTTTCTAGTAACTGTATTTGCTCTGTGCAGCCTGTGCTTGGAGGTGAACATAAACTGAACTGTGGAGAGGTTTAAGTGACTTGCCTAGGGGCGTTGTGTTCACTTGTGGTTAAACTGCAATTGAAAGAAAGCATTTGCTTATTCTTGGATAACATAGAAGTTCATACACAATATTCTGTTTATTCTAATTATCTTCCCAGCTCTTATTTGATGCCAGGGGCCGATTCTTATTATAATGCCCAGGTGCTACTGCAGTACTTATGAGAAACAGCTAACTCAGTTCTTGTGTGCCAGGATGGGGAGCGATGCCCTGGAAGACTTGTTGGTACTATAATTTCTAATCTGAGACCGGTGGATTGAGGGTCAGTAGGCACTGGAAAAACAGAGTATTTCCAATTGTATGTCTGTCAAGCATTCTGTCTAGAAATCAGAGGATACAGATTTACAATAAGTAATCTTAACCAACCTTGCAAATTCTTACTAACTTTTAAGAGCACATTTTGATTATGAAATAGGATAACTCGTGATAATTTTATTGGATACAACTTGAAAACTCATCTCCCATTTCTATTCATTTTTAGAGCTTTTCGAGAGAAGCAACCCTCATAACCATGATTATATTTAACCATTAAGGAAAAAGAAAACTTGTTAAACTTGCTTGTGTACACATTTTGCACTTCCATTAATTTAATTTGCAGCTTTGTAGTAAAAGTTAAAAGCTAGTGGTTTAAATGTTTAAACTTGCCAGTTTTGACTTTTTTGAAGAAGCAAGATCTTTGTTAAGTAAATCTTTCTGATTAGCCTGCCTATTTGTCTTACAGTAATTTAGCTATAAAAATTTATGTCTGGGTATGGTAGTGACACATGCCTGTAATCTCAGCACTAGCTGGGCAGAGGATAGAGAGTCGGAGCCAGCGTAGGCTACATTAAAAAAACAAAACAATAAATAAAAACCTATGTTTGGATGCTTATTTTAATAGATTACAAAAATTTCCCAGTCAAAATATTTATAGAATTAGTAATTTGTAGTTTTGGTAGATATGTTATGACTGATGGTTTCTCAATATTCTTTTGTTTTTAACTCTTTAGGAAAAGTTGGCAGCTAAGAAAAAACTTAAAAAAGAGAGAGAGGCTCTTGGTGATAAGGTAAATCTACTTTCTATCTTAAGTAATGTTTCCTGATACTACATTGATTACTTTTAATATTTATGAAGTATTTCAGATGTATAAAAAGTTATAAAATATTATAACAAACTCTTTCTTTTACCCAACTTAGCAAATAATGTTGGAAGCCCCTTGCATGCTTCCTTTTGATTGCCTTCACTTCCAAAAACAACCACTCATGAGAAATTTTTTATATTTCCCACACACTTCTTTATACTTTTACTATGTATTTATATTTTATTACTACTGTATATGGTGGTGTACCTAAACAGTAAGTACAATGATGGTGTTTTGTATGTTACTTTATATTTTTGAGAGGCAAAGAAAGCTCTCCCTGACTCTAGGAATGGGGAAGCTCCCCATCTTGTGGCTTGAAACAAAGGCTTTTTGTCAGGCAAGACTGGGGGAAGGCAGGACAGATCTTTTCTGTAGTAGAACGGAGTTAAAGGTACCAGATAATAATAACAAGAATTTTTGAGGAAGGGAAAAATATTAAGAGTACATACAAACTAAGCACTTCACTATTTCATACATTCTCATAATAATATTAGGTTAAATCATAAGAAATTGTCAATATTAAACTGTTTTAACCTGTAAAATTCTAACATATCAAGCAATGTTAGTATCTTGGAAATTCTTCAAAAGCCAGTAATTACAGCAAATTAATATGTTAATCACCATTTGAAAATATTACCATTCTCAGGCTGGGGTGTAGCTCTGTGGCACAGTGTTTGCCTTGCATACTCAAGGCCTTGGATTCCATAGCAGCACTGCCAATGAAACCAAACAACAAAATCTCATTGTTTTTGAACTGAAAGACAACTTCTTAGAATTTCTTCCTTTAAAGATTCCTTAAAACGTACTGTAGTATTTGTTTCATAGAGTAAAAAAAAAAAAAAAAAATCCTAGTTTTTCAGTTCATATTTTCTTCATATATCCGCATAGCCTGTGTGTATTTTGAATTAGTATATCCTTACAAGTGTATTCCTACTCCTTGATAGTTCTTTTGTACAATCTGTTGGTCTAAGCTGATTCTAATGGTGTACCATTATGTTGCTGTGCTGTAATGTGTAGTCATCACCCTGTTGGATATTTGCTCTATTTGCTGTGTTTTTCCATAAAGAATAATACCAGGAATTAGTTTAAATGAATGACTCTGTCCCCCACCCCCTGGATTCCTTACCATAAATTCCCCAAAGCAGAGTTACTAGGTCACCTAATAGAATTTTGTTGTATATTTCTGAATAGCTTTCTGGAAGTGTTGAAACAAAGTCACTGCATATGTACTTTTATAATTTTTTTCAATTGTTTCTTTACTTTTTTACTGTTGGATATTTTTCTCAATGATGGATAATTATTGTGATCTCTTCTTCTCTGCTACTTCTGCCTAGATTTAAGCCATTTCATTCAATATTAGCCATTCTTCCAGTATGTATATGTCTCTGCTCAGATTGTTAAAAACAGTACTATTACTCAATTTTGTTATTAGGGTTGATGTAGCTGCAAGAGTAACAGCGGGTTGAAATGAGGAACAGATTGTGTTTTGGGGTCATTTGTAGATTTCTTTCGTCCCCAACTGTAATGTAAAATAATTAACATAAAACCTCTTAAACTTAATTGTTTCTCTTTTTTTAGGCTCCACCAAAGCCCATACCCAAAACCATTGACAACCAACGAGTCTATGATGAAACAGTAGTAGACCCCAATGATGAAGAGGTAATGTTAGAAGTTTTAAATGACTCACCCTTGATTTGTTTACATTTTAACCTTATGCTGCCTGGCAAAGTTGTACAATAGACTGGTCCAACTGTAATGTTGGTATCTTATTTGATACAGATTATTTTATAATTAATCTTCCTATTAATGCAGTAAGTATTTGTTTCCTACAAAAGTATTTATCTTACGCTCTAGGTAAACTTTTACATTTGTCTTCTCATCTCTGAATAGTATGATTAATGTTTTAAAAGAATCCCTCATACTATAGATTTTTATAATATCTTTTAGACATTTTGATACTTCAAGAGAACATGATGGTATTTCTTGTATTCTTACAAAATTCTGGGTTTCAAGATAATCTTCCACCTTGATGTTTTCTCTTTAAATAGTTTGCAAAGTTTTCCATTAAATCGGAGCTTTAAATGTTCAAATATTTTGGGCTGGGGACATAGCTCAATAGCAACTGGGAGGCCCTGAGTTTGGTCTCCTGCACCACCAAAAGAAAAGATGAAAGAGTAAAATTTTGAATATTTTAAAATTTCTTATAAAGGAAACCTGGTTTTGTAATGTTTGTTTTTGAACATTCAGGAATCACCATTCTTTTGTATATGTTGCAGTATAGTGTTCATTCAGTCAGCCAGTCTTCTAGCACATATTTATTGAGCATGTGTTATGTATTTGGATCTGATTTAAGGACTTGAGATTCATTGCACCACTAAATTCTCTGGGTGTTTGTCTGTGTTTATGTCTCGCTGTCTGTCTCCCTCTGTCTCAGTGTTTCTCAGTGTCTCTCAATCTCTTTCCCTTACTCCCACTCCTCCTCCTTCCCCCTCCCCACCCCCCTACCCCCACCCCCCCATCTGCATACCCAGATTTTATTTTGTAGGTATAGAGACAAACAATAAACATAGCAAAATACATAAATTAAGCATATATTAGTAGGGGATAGATTAAAAGAGTAAAGGACTACTGGAACAGAGAGGTTTTATAATTTTATATATAGAGATTTGTGTTTGTGTATGTGTGTGTGCATCTGAATTTTATTTTAACAATTTCAGATTGAATAAAAAATTGGAATTCATTTATACCCTTCACCTCAACTTCCAAAACATATTGTACCACACTTGGTTTTCATTTATATTCTCTACAAATTGCTTGAGAGAAAGTGACAGACATGCTTTTCCTTATTTCTATATATTTCTATATGTTTTACCTATAAACAAGTGGGTTTTTTTTTTAATAAGTACAATATAGTTATCAGACTTAAATAGTTAAAATTGATACATACTATTATCAACTAAAGTATTGCTCTTATTCAAATGATATAAGCTGCTCTCAAAGTGGTTCTTTTCATAGCAAAAGAGAAGTTCCAGATCATTCTTTTAATGAATTTTCATGGAATGCATTTCATTTCATCCAAGGGACTCTTCAGCCTCTTTGATTTACACCTCCTCGGTCTGCTTGCTTTTCATGACATTGACATTTTTTTAAAGGATGGACCAGATATCCTGTAGAATGTCCTTTAATGTGAGTTTCTGTGATGTTTCCTCTGATTATATTCAGTTTATATACTCTTGACAAGGATTCTGCAGATGTGATATTATGTCCTTCTCAGGGCCTCCTTACTAGGAATTGTATGATGTTGATTTTCCCATTACTGTTTATGTTATCTTTGACCACTTAGCTAAAGTAGTGTTTTTGCCAGTTTTCTCCATTGTGAAGTTACTTACAGAGTTTTCCCTTTGTAATTAATAGGTATTTTGGAGGAAGATATTTGAGAATATGTTAGTCAATGTTCTTAAAACTTTTGCTCAAGATTTTACAATAACCATATTCAGTCTGATAATTTAGAAATTGTATCAGCGTAGTCTTTAATTTGCAATTTTCTTTTATGAATGAAGTTAGAGTGTTTTCTTTCTTAATAGTTGTTTGTTTGTCTCTTGTTCATTTTTCCATTGGGTAAAGTTATGATTTTATATTGAATGGTTGTGGAAGACCTCATTGAGAAGATGATCTTTTAACAGAGTCTTGAAGGATTTAAGGAAGTTACTCATCTTTGGACAGAAAGAACTCTAAGATGAGAAAATGTTTAGTGCAAAAGCTCTAAGGCAGGATTGTGCTTAATATGCTTTTAAAGAATGGGAAGAATGTTAATGTGATTGAAATTAAATGAGCAAGGGGAGGATCGTAGAAAAGGTGCCACAAAAGTATGGGGAAAGGGAGGGAGCCAGATCAGTGACTTTGTTGGCCACTCTGGGGACTTTGGTTTTACATTTAATAAAATGAGCAGCCATTGGGTGGTACTGAACAGAAAACCCACATGATCAGACTTAATTTCTAAGTGTAATTGGCAACTGTAGGAGAATATAATTGGATGAGTAAGCAGTTTACTTAGGAAGCTATTGTTTGCAGGAAAGAATTGATGGTGACAACTTGGATAAGGATTGTTTTAGTGAGAGTGATGAGAACTCTCTGATTAAGTTTTATTTTACCCCTGGGTATATTTTAAAATTTAAGCTACAGAGATTTCCTGATAAATTGGAGTGTGAAAAAGATGATTCAAAAATGGTGTCAAGTTTTAACCTGAGCAATTAGAAAGATTGCTCTTTTATGCCTTACTGACCAGGTGTAGAAGACTGGGTGGAGCAGATTTAAGGAGATCAAGAGTTCAGTTTCAGGTATGTTATGTTTAAGGTGACTCCTAAAAGTCTTTAGCAGAGTCAGTAAGAAGGCAGTTGGAATATGAGTTTGGAGTTCAAGAAAGAGATCTTGATTGGAGATAAATGTGGGGATCATAGGCATGTAGAGGATATGTACATGTAAAAGTTTCCCTAGAATACTGACCTTTGGGAGACTTCATTCGATGATGGGATGTGTGAACATTCAGCTTTACATGGTAGTACGAAAATGTTTTCAGAAGTAGTGGTTGTTCATTTTACTCTTCCATAGTGTAAAAGCAGTATTCCTGTTCAGCTACACTCTGACCAATTCTTTTTATATTCAGACTAGTAAGAGGGCAGTCTCATTGTAGTTTGGATTTGTACTGCTGCTTTCTAATACAGTTGAATATCTTTTCATATGTGTACTCTTATTTTAAGGAGGGTAATATTGGGAGTTGAACGCAGGGCCTTGAGCTTGCTAGGCAGGTGCTCTACCATTTGAGCCACACCTCCAGCTCCTCCTATATATACTTTTTTTGTTAGAGATATACTAGTTCATTTCTTTTGCCCAGTTTTCTATCATGTACGGTATTTTACTGGTACGTAGGACTTTCTGTATGGTTTGAATAGTAATCCTTCAATATGTGTTAAAGGTACTTTCAGTGTATGAACTATTAGGTTCTATTGTGTCTTTTAGGAAATAGAAATTATGCAGTTGAGTTTTAATATTTAATGCTTATTATGTCACTTAAGAAATCTTTATCCTGTGACCATAAATTCTCTTTTATTTCCTACCCACGTACCTCTGAAAAGAATTAAAAGGTTGCCTTTCACATTTACATGCTTAATTGCTAGGAATTTTCTGTTTGCTATGAGAAAGAAAACCAGAAGAAACTGTCTCATCCTTTCCCCCTTGCATATGTAATCAGTTTCTCTGACATTGCTTTCTTCTCCCCCACCAACCCCCTTTTTGAGACAGGGTCTTGCTATGTAGCCTAGGCTGGCCTTGAACTTACATTCCTCCTACCTCAGCCTGCTCAGTGCTGGGATTACAGATGAGAGCCACTATTTCTGGCCCCAGTGCCATTTTTTTTGGAGTAGCACTTTTGCCCACAGTGAATTGCAATGCCTTGTCACATCAAGTATCCATATTTGCTTCATCTTTTTCTGGGCTATTTGATTGGTCACCTTGTCAGTATCATTTCTTTCCTTTCTTAATTATTTAACTTCATAAATTTTGATAACTGTAAGGGCAAGATGCCCCTCTCACCCCCGCCCCCCTCCCCCAAATCCCTCTGTTCAGGATTGTTTTGGCTCTTTCTGGGTCTTTGGTCTTCCATATAAATTCCAAGTGGCACTAAATCAGATCAGTTTGGGGATCTCCATGTATTGCTTTACTTAAATTATTTTAAATATTGAAAATGTCTCTCAATGAATTTTGTAATTTTCTTCGTTTTACACATAAATCTTATTAGAGCTATTCCTGGGTATCTTACATTTTTTCTCAATGGAAATTACATCTCTTTGAAAATTGTTTTGTTTGCTGATTTATAAAATACAATTTATTTTTGGATAATGCTCTCCTAACAAATAGCCTACCTAATTTCTAATAATTTGTCCAAATACTGTTTGCATATTAACGCATAATCATTCCTACAGATGACAGTTTTTCTTATTTCAATCCATTAATACTGTTTTTTTCTTCTACCTCTGTGGTGACTAGAACTTCTAGTATAATGTTGAATAAATAAAAAAGGCAATAATGGCATCTTTGCTATGTTCCTAATTTTAAAAAGAGTAAGTATTGAGATGATTATGTGTTTTTTCTCCTACATTGCATTATAAGCTTTTTCTTTTTTGGTGGTACAAGGGTTTAAACTCAGAGCCTCATGCTTGCTAGGAAAGTGCTTTACCACTTGAGCCATGGCCCCAGCCCTTGGGTTAATGTAGCAAATGACATCTATGGATTTTTTTTTGGGAGGGAAGGGGTGCTTGGGATTTGAACTCAGGTCTTGGAACTTGCAAAGCAGACACTCTACTGCTTGAGCCACACCTCCAGTCCATTTGGCTTTGGTTATTTTGGAGTTGGGGGTCTCATGAACTGCCAGAGCTGGCCTCGAATAGAGATCTTCTTGATCTCAGCCTCTGAAGTACGTAGGGCTACAGGCATGAGCCACCAGTGCCAGTACATCCATGGATTTTCTAGTGTTTAAAATAAATATCTTAAGTTCTTGAGATGAAACCATTTTGGTTATGTTTTATCTTTATACATTGGGATTAATATTTTTCTTAGGATTAATGTATATTTGTGTTCATAACTGTAACTATAGTAATGTTTGGTTATTATTCCTAATATTATTTGGACATTTTCTTTATCAGTTTTTACCAGAAATAATATCTATTTTGTTTTCAAAGTACTTTTTCTTTGATCCTCTCTACTGAATCTTTATTTTCTAACTTATATCTCCTCTTATCTTTATTTCCTTTTACTTTCTTGAAGTTTATCCTGTTTTTATTTATTTTGTTGACTTGCTTATTTTTCATCTTTTTTAATGTGACCAGTTAAGGCCAAAAACTTCAGGTACCATCTGTGGTATATCCCAGAAGTTTTAAAGAGTGCTGTTTTCATTATTGTTTAATCTGAGTATCTCTTCTAATAGATTTGTTGACTTCTTGTAATTTCATTTTTTTTATTTAAAAAAATTTTAAATTGGCATAGATTAATTGTGTAATAATTTTATACATGTATATAGTGCCTAATGGATTAAATCATAGTAAACAGCATTTGCATCTCCTTAAATGTTATCACTTCTGTGTGCTGGGAACCATCAAACTCTTCTCTGGATACTTTGAACTGTATTATAAGTGGTTTTAAACTGTATTTAACCCTACTCTGCTGTAGAACATTAGAACAAAGTCCTTCTATCTAGCTGTATTTTGGTACCCATTATCTTAACTCTTCTCTATCCTACCAGTATATTTTATGTCATTAGTTCTCTCCTTAGTCTTAATTTTTTTCACCTGTTACCTTGGATTTTATTTGCTCTTTTTTTTCCCCCTTCTCCTGACTTTTTAAGACAGAAGTTTAGATTATTAGTTTGGTACTTTTCTTTCTTTCTAATAGAAGCATTTAAACTCTGGTTTTCCACTACACACTACCTTAACAATAATCCATAAGTTTTGATGTTAGTTGTGTTTTCATTTTCACTCTGTTTGTTTTTGATTTTGATTTTTTATTTTTTGGTAGTCCTCGGGATCAAACCCAGGGCTTCACGCATGCCAGGCAAGCCCTTTACCATTGAGCTACATCTCCAGCCACAATATTTTCTAATTTCTCCTGTGTCGTCTTTGGCTCATCAATTAAGTATGGTTGATTTCTAATTTGCTTTTATTGTGGTTGTGGAACATACTTTGATTTTGATCCTTTTCCAGACTCTTTCTTGTCCTACCATAGAGTCACTTCTGAAGAATGTTTAATGTAGCCCTTGAAAAACTTATGTATTCTTTCTTTTATTTTGGGATGGATTGTTACTGTTAGTTCAAGTTAGTTGATAGTGTTGTTCACATCTTATACTTTCTGGATTTCTATCATATAAGGGTTACTGAGAGAGGAGTGTTTAAATCTCCAACAATGCCTGCCAAATTATTTATTTCTTCCATTACTTTCAGCTTTTGCTTCATGTCTTTAGGGAGTTCTTTTGTTAGCTGCATGTATGTTTACAATAGGGATACATATAATTACATAACTGTAAATTATAATTACATTTTCTTGATGTATTGGCCCTTAGTCCATTATAAAATATCTCTTTATTCTCTCCAACAGTACTTCTTTTCTTAATGTCTATTTTTTTCTGATGTACAATAGCCACTTAAAACTCTCTCATAAGTACAGTTTGTTACATTTTTTTCATGCTCTTACTTTCAGGTTATATATGACTTTGAATTTAGAATGTGGCACATATTAAGATTATATGGTGCTGGGCACTACTCAGGAGGCAAAGATCAGGAGGACTGCAGTTTGAAGCCAGCCCAGGCAAATAGTGAGAGCTTATCTCAAAAAAATCTTTACAAAAAAGGACTGATGAAGTGGCTCAAGGTGTAGGCCCTGAGTTCAAGTTTGAGTACCACACACATGCACACACACACAAGTCCTATGGTTGGGTCCTGCTTTTTAAAGAATTCAGTCTGACAGTTAGTGTATAGTGTTGATTATTCATGTAGTTAGATTTACATCTGCCATTTTGCTTTTTTACTCAAAATGTATTTTTATTTTTCCTCTGTTCTTCCTTGACTTTCTTTTGTGTTGAACATTTTTTAGTATGCCATTTAAATTTCTCTTGTTTTAAACTTTAGGTTTTTGTTTTTTAAGTAGTTGCTGTTGGAATTACAACATGCTTCAGGCCAGAGGTGTAGCTCAGTGCTGCTTACCTAGCATGCACAAGATCCTGCATTTGATTCTTATTATGAACAAAAAGAAAAAGACAATATGCATCTTTTAACACAATCTACTTCAAGTAAATACTGACACAATCCCGGTAAAATATAGGAAGATTATACTAACATAGCTTTGTTTCTTCCACCTTGTTTGTACTATTATCATATATACTACATCTGTGTATAACCTTGTGTTGTAATTACTGCTGTAAACAATCTGATGTTCTCAAGGAAATGAAGAGTGTACATTAACATACCACAGTCTTGTTTTGCACCTACATATTTTCCATTTACAGCACATTTTTCCACCCTCTGCAGCTAAGTTACCATCTAGTGCTATTTTCTTTCATCTTATGGGACTTCCATTAGTCTTTTTGTTTTAATAGCTTATTATATAGCTACTAATTCTCCATTTGTGTTTATCTGAATGTAAGCATATTTTGCCTTCATTTTTAGAATAATTTTTAGAATATAAGATTCTTGGCTGACCTTATTTTCCTTTTAGTACTTTGAACATATCACTGCATTTTTAACCCTCATCATTTCCACTAATCATGTGTATTTAGCTGCATCTTCTTTTATTTCTGGTTGTGCTTTTAGCAGTTTGGCTCTAATGTGCTTAGGCATCATTCTTTCTTTTTATCCTGCTTGGGATTTGCTGAGCTCCTTGTATTTGTAAGTTAGTGTTTTTCATTAAATTTGTTTTTAGCCAGTGTTTCTTCAAATACTTTTTCTGCCCTTCCCTTCTAGAGATTTCCTTTATATATACAATTGAAATGTTGATATCCTGCAAATCTCCCCAACTTTGCTGTACTTTCTGATGGATTTCTCTGTTTTTCAGACTGGATATTAGTCAGTTTCCAAGTTCATTGATTCTTCTACCATGTCAGATCTGCCATAAGTCTGTGTTTTCCTTTAAATCCTAGACTGTATTAAGGCTGAACACACAGTAACTATTGACTGCTTTTTAATTTTTGGATCATCCTTTTTGTTTGTTTTTGGCAATACTGGGGTTTTGAACTCCAGGGCTTGTGCTTACTAAACAGAGGCTCTACCACTTGAGCCATGTCTCAGCCCTTTTTTGCTTTAGCTGTTTTTCATGATTTTTTCTAGGGCCAGCATCAAACTTTGATCCTCTTATCTCTGACTTCTGTGTAATTGGGATTATAGATGTGTACCACCATACACATTTGTTTGTTAAAGGACTTATTTTGTTTTTTACTTAACAAAACTTTTTAGCTGGGCCTGTAATCCTAGCTACTCAGGAGGCAGAGATCAGGACAAATAGTGAGACCCTATCTTGAAAAATCCTATCACAAAAAATTAGGCTTGTGGAGTGGCTCAAGGTGAAGGCCCTGAGTTGAAGCCCTAGTAATGCAAAAAAATAAGTATTTTTTTCTTTTACTGGTACTGGGGTTTGAACTCACGCTTCATGCTTGCTAGGCAGGCGCTCTACACTTCAGCCACTCCGCCAGCCCTTTCTTGTTTGTTGAGATAGGGCCTCAGAAACTGTTTGCCCAGGCTGACCTTGAACCTCACCCTGTATCACAAGTGCTGGGATCTACAGGCATGAGCACCGCACCTCGCCCCTTTCTTGTTTCTTTTAGATCTAATCATTTTTAGTTGAAAATTAGACATTTAGACAACATATTGTAGCATCTCTGGGTTCTAGTTTGTTACGGGTTTTTTTCCTTTGCTGTTATTTTATAACTTGCTTGAATTTAAAGTGTGGGATCTCTTAGACACTAGCTCAGTGTTTTGTTTTTTCATTATTTTTAATCTCCCTCACTAGGGATTGCTCCTGTGTTTGTGTGGTTTGTCAGCCAGTGATTAGGCAGACTGTTAAGATGCCTGAGCCCCTAAGACGTAACATACTTTTTCCCATCTGAACTGTGTGAGTTTAAGAAAACCTTCAAAGGTGCATCCAGTTCCCAAGTCTCCCTTGCCTTTCACATCCAGTGGATTCTCAGGTCTCCTTCCCCACACGTGTATGGTTGGTGTCAGATATGGATTTGTGGAGAGATTATTTCAGGCACTCTATGGCTCTTTCACTTCCAGAGTGCCTGTTTAAATTCTGGCTGATCCCTACCCACCCTGAACTTGGTCTGCAGCCCTGGTTTGGCACAGCTGTGTGTTTTCACCTTTGCCCCACCAATTTCTCTCCCTGTTCTGGTCAAGTCCACCACCTGTAAATCTAAGACTGCTAGTTCTTACCTATCATCACCTTGAAAGTTGGTTAAGTTGTTTTCACCAACCAAGCAAGATTCTGATGTTCTTTCCCATAGACATAACTTTTTTTTTAATGCGTTTTTTTTTGAGATAGGGTTTCAGGAACTATTTGTCCAGACTGGCTTTGAACCATGATTGTCCTGATTTCTGCCTCCTGAGCAGCTAGAATTACACGTGTAAGCCACGGGTGCCCAGCTGAGACATAACCATTTTTTAAGAATAAACATGTCTTAGTGTCCTAAAATGATTTTTGACAATTTCAACCAGTTTTATACTTGTGTTCTTCTGCAAAGTAGAAAATTAAATAATCAGTGTCAAATAACCCTTTAAAATTCAGGCCCAGAAGAATATTTACTTGATGTAAAATTATTTCATCTCTGTTCTCAGGTTGCTTATGATGAAGCTACAGATGAATTTGCTTCTTACTTCAACAGAGAAACTTCTCCCAAGATTCTCATCACAACCTCAGATAGACCTCATGGGGTAAACACATTGTTAATTGCTTTAGATAATGCCTGTGATAAGCTAAATAAAAATAACTGGTGATAGATGTAGGTTGCATGATTCTTCCGGATAGGGTTTCCCAATCTCAAATTAACAGTTTGGGCTGGGTAAATAATTTTCTTTGTTATGGTGACTTACCCTGTTCATCATAGGAGGATGGTTAGTAGCATCTGCAGTCTCTATCCATGAGATGCCAGTAACAAACAACACACCCTACCACCAGTCATAACCACGGAAATAAATGTCTGTAGACATTGTCAAATACTTCGTGTGGCACAGTCACCCCTTGTTTAGAATCACTGGTTTAAGATAATCAGCTTTTGTTCTGATTTCATTCTTTCCTTAGTCTTACTTTATTGATAACACTCATAACTATCATTATTCCTTTCCTTATGCATATATACTACATAACATTTTATTCATGTTCACTTTAGAGAATGTTTATTTTGTTTTACAGAGAACAGTGCGGCTCTGTGAACAGCTCTCCACAGTTATACCAGACTCACATGTTTACTACAGAAGAGGACTGGCTCTGAAAAAAATTATTCCACAGTGCATCTCAAGAGATTTCACAGATCTGATTGTTATCAATGAAGATCGTAAAACACCAAGTATCTTTTTTTTAAGAACGTTTTCCTGTCCCTTCCCTCACCCCCTTTTAAAAATATATTGAAAAGAATAAGAAAATGTTCCTTATAACTTTTAGAACATAGTTTTAAAACAGGAAATTATATGTCTGTATCTAAAGATTCTGTAAGCACAATTTCTTTTTATTCAGCAAACATTTATCAGCGCATTATAGCCAAAACACTATTTTAGTCTTTAGTAAAGGTTGTAGAGATACAAGAGATAATTAGCCTTCAGGGAATTCAGAGTAAATAGTAAACTAACAAAATACAGTGTGGATGAGGGAACAATTAAAGAAATACAGAATAGAGTGGATACTGGGTATGCCTGGCACGCTATTCCAGGGATATTAGGGAGGAAGGACTTCATAGAAAGCTATGCTTAAGCTGGGTCTTTGTGGGTAAGGGTGAATGAGGCAGAAGAGGAGTGCCTAGTACAGAGGGACAATCATTTGGAAAGAAGTAAGTATAAAAGGGCTGATCCAGTTGGGGATCTGCATATATTTTGGTATGGCTAGCTTTTATATTGCCAGAGATCATAACACAGGATTGTTTCTGAGGTAGGAATGAGCCTGTATTATGTGGTTGGAAGTGTTACTGATGCCAGTAACAACAGAAACTGATAGAAACTTTTTCTGTGAGTCTCAGGTCTGAAGTGAACTTATGTTACCTAAACACAAGTTATTTCTGTTTTGAGGTAAGATTATATAAAAGATGTCTAGGTTTGTTTTTGTTGTTGCTGTTCTTTTATTTATTTACTGTGAATTCAGTAACTTTAGGATGCCCAATTAGATGAGTCAGGCTTACTTAAATGAAATTAAGGATTTACAAAAAATAGCAAGAGGACTTTCCATCTACCACCAGGACAGAGAGTACTGATCATTTTAATGTATGAAAAGCTCTATTTTAAAAATCTAAAATAATTTAATGGCTTTTCATGTTCCAGGAACTAAAACAGATAACTAGTTTTATATTGTGGTATTTTGTTGCTGTACTATAATTTGGCTTAACTAAACTAAAATCTTTTTGAATACCTATTAACTTTTTTTAAATTGCCCCTCTCCCCCCAAATAAAGTAGAATGGTGTGTTTTTCTCTATTTATTTTTTGCAGTACTGGAGTTTGAACTCAGGGTCTACACCTTGAGCCACTCCACCAGCCCTTTTTTGTGATGGGGTTTCATGAACTATTTGCCCAGGCAGGCTTTGAACCTCGATCTCCCTGATATCTGCCTTCAGAGTAGTTAGGATATTAAACGTGAGCCGCCAGTGCCTGGTTATTTTTAACAGTTAAAAAAACTGTCATTTCAAGGTATTCATCAGTTCAATAACTGTCCTATTCTTGTTTTAGTGAGATATTTTCTAAAGGTAGTTTTCACTTATACCATCTATACCCTTCAGAAAGCTTACATCGTCTTTTCTTTGAAAAATTTTACTATCTTTTTATCTAAAATATATCAGTTTTTCTGTTTTGCTATATTGGACACCTTGTAGGGTACGCTTTTGAGCCACTTTTCCTCATAACTGAAATGGGGAAGGTGATTGCTGGTTTGTATGATTTATATCAGGGATTAGCAATAACTGAAAGCTTTTGAACAGCATAGGTACCAAGTTATGCAGGAACTGATGAGTGTGGATTTTGTACTTTGCTTTTGACATAAACCACCATGTAGTAGGAATGTTCCAGAAAGGATTCAAGCCTTGATTTGGGTTGGGAGAAATTACTTTTACATTTAACCTCCTCAATTTTTGTGATTTTTTTTCAATGTGTAAAAGATGCACATTGAAAGAATTCAAATGTTTGTTGATGATCGGCATTGTTGACAGACACTAATTAGTATCTGTAAGAAACAGATCTAGTTCCAAAAGTTAACAGATTAGTTTGGAAGACAGGTATTTTCATGACTCTTAATTCCAGTTTTAAGTGACAAGTACTATAGCAAGAACAATGAGAGCTAAGATTTAAAGCTTAATTCTGTGTTAAAAAAAAAGTGGAATTCAGATGGGCTTTGGTGATTAAAACACTGATGTTCAAAATAGCATGAGCAAAAAATGTAAGATTGTGTGAGTGCCTACTAGTCAGGGAATAAGAGGTAGTTTATAGCAACAGTAATAAGTAGTATTATATATACTTTTGTCTTCACTCTGTAGGTGAATCAGTGATGACAGAATAGTATGAAATTAGGTACTGCTGCCAAGACTGTGAAGCTATCTGTAGTTTTTACTTGCATGTTAAACTGTGGTACAGATAAAATAACACAGCCAAGTCTCATAGAGAACTGAAGACTAAATCCAGATGATTTACAGTCTGTATGAGAAGATGTAATTGAAATGGGAGGGGAGGGATAGGATAAACCATGACACTGTTTTAATAATCTAGGTGGAAAAGCGCAAGCTCTCAACTAACTAGTCAGGGTAAAGAGGTAGTTGCAGAAGTGGGAACTTCTGAAGGTGAAGTAGTAAGATTTGATTGGGGTAGGGACATAGGTTGAAGATAACCAAAGATGGCCACATCTGTCTTGTAAACCTCATATTATATGCACAGCTATTATGTATTTAAGGTGCATTTCTTGACAGAACCAGAAGTGTTTGAAAGTTTTTCCAAATGTAAAAAAATAATATAAATTGACATCTTGGCCATTGCTATCTATTCTGCCTACTTGTGGCACCGCTGGACAACAGCCAAAACTTGCTCATCGAAAAGTAAAGGAGAGGTTAAAGTCAAGTTGTGCTACAAAGATTTGAATGTTTTATATGTAGTAACCTTAGTTTGCTGCACCCAGGACTCCTAGGGCCCTTGAGCTGCTATCCTTGCTGACTACAGGTAGGTATCTATTTCATTTGTAGTTTAGAGTGTCTAGCCTAATTCTGTGTTCATGAGACAGTCCATAAATGGTTGTAATTGGTTGATTATAATTTGTGGTGCAGTAATCCTAAAGAGCTTATTATCACTTGAGAAATAATCTTGATTTCAACAAGAACTGGTTTTGTGGGATGATATTCAAAGCTGACAGCATATCCTAACCATACAAACATATAAAAGTATTGTAAGTTTTCTAAAGATACTATTTACATTACTATATTCTAGAATCCTGGATCTTATTCCTGCTTGTGTAGTAGTTATTAAATACTTTTTTTTCATTTAATTTCGTTGAAAGCTCAAGATACCCTATTGAGAATAACTAGCTATTTATCAATTTGTAAAAAGAAAAAAATAAAATGAGTAAGCTAGGTGTGGTGGCACGCATCCCTGAAACTAAGGAGGTAGAGGCAGAATGATCACAAGTTCCAGGCCAGCGTTGGCTACATAGTGAGTCCACATCTCAACAGAAAGAAAAAAAAAAATCTTTCTTGGAAGATTTAGGTTGACTGTTAACTGATTATGTTTGAGGTTTGACATGACAGGAAAAGTTCAGTTACCCCAGAGGACTAAGTGCATCCCACAACTAACTACTGATTTTAAGGGACTTTGAAATACAGAAAACTAGTTATTTAAATAATTTTGGATTTAAATTAGAGTTTAGTGTGTTTCTTAACTTTTATGAACAGATGGACTTATTTTGAGTCACTTGCCAAATGGTCCAACTGCTCATTTTAAAATGAGCAGTGTTCGTCTTCGTAAAGAAATTAAGGTAAGTTTTATGCACTCCTTGATTGGTGTTGATCTCACATTATTTGATTAATAAGAACTTTATCTTACAGATCTGATTGATTTTTAACTATATTTGCTCTGGTTTAAAGCAGCTCTACCAAGTCTTCTTGTGAGATAGTGATTGAGCATGGCAGAAGCAGTAGCCCTCATTTACTATGAAACATGGTGATTTTGTACTAGAGCTTTCTTTTTGGTGCATTCACTCATATTAAAATAGTAATGTCTTTGTAGGTGTGATAAGTCATCTGTGGTAGTTTGTCATTTTAGAAAATTACTAAAATCTTCAAATGTCATATAAACTGTTATACTCGAAATTGCTTTTCAGTGTACTCTTGCCAATTAGTTTAATTGATTATTAAATTTTTCGTTATTTCTCCAGAGAAGAGGCAAAGACCCTACAGAACATGTGCCTGAAATAATTCTGAATAACTTTACAACTCGGCTAGGTCACTCAATTGGACGTATGTTTGCCTCTCTCTTTCCCCATAACCCTCAGTTTATTGGAAGGCAGGTTGCCACATTCCACAATCAGCGGGATTATATCTTCTTCAGATTTCACAGGTGAGTAACATACTTACTCCTTGGACTTTGATGTCAATCATAAAAGACATTTTCAATGTCTTAATTTTGTAACACATTAAATCCTTTAAGCTGACATGAGAAATTTTGTGTAAATGAACCTAACTGTTTAACATTAACTCTTATTTTGTCCTTGAAGATACATATTCAAGAGTGAAAAGAAAGTGGGAATTCAGGAACTTGGACCACGTTTTACCTTAAAATTAAGATCTCTACAGAAAGGAACATTTGACTCTAAATACGGAGAGTATGAATGGGTCCATAAGGTAAGTGCTTACTGTTTGAAAACCCATTTAAGTCATTTTAAAAGAAGGAAACCGTGTGCCTACCTTAAGTTATACTTCTGGATTTCTTCCCCTGTGAATTAGAAAGAACCAATCTAATGATGTCTTGGCCTGCTGATTAACCATATAATCATTTGAAGTAGCCTAAAGATCAGTGGTCTCAAAGTGGAACTAGCAGCATCACCTAAGGGATGGAAACTCTTGAGCCCAGACCTACTGGATAGGCTACCTGGGGATAGGGCCCAGTGCTTGTAAGGTTTTACTGCATAGCTCTTGAGAAATACTGCTATAGTGCTCTCACAAGTTTGATGATTATCATAAATGAAAACATCAGTATTATATAATTAGTAACTTTAGTGTATACTTAATATTTTTACTTTAAAATAGCAGTTATACACATGCATGGAACAATAACTTACATAACTTGCAACCCCTTTATGTTAGATCTAAGACTGACTATTGAAGGTCTCAGACAAACCTACTACTAGTGTTACCTATAAAGATTTAGGGAAGTTAATTTTTACTATCTTAACCTAAATTGTTCTTCATTATATATATTGTCCTTTGATTTTCAGCCACGGGAAATGGACACAAGTCGAAGAAAATTCCATTTATAAAGTACTGACAATAGTATTGGATATTGCTAAAAAGGCCTATCTTGAACTTGGTAAATTATTTGGGACATCAAAATGATCTTTATTGACTTCATAAAACTTTGTATGTCTGATCAAATGATCATGTGCCACGAATTGCCATTGTATGTTCACATAGCAAGTACAAATAAAACTAATTTTGGTAAAGGTTTAGAAGTTGCAATTTAGGTTTCCTAAAACTTAAGTCAAGTTGAAATCAACATTCAGATTCACTTTCCCATCTGCATTTTCAAAGAACATATGGGCTGGACAGAAAGTATGGTTGATACTCTGTAACCCCTAATTTAATACCAGATTAATTTTGGATTCCTAGTATCTGGTACACAAAGTCTTAAATTAGAGGCCAGATTTATTTCTTTAAAAGCCTTTCATCAGAAAGGTGTTTAAAAGCAAAATGATTTACTAGGACTTAGTGAAGTTACAAACTACTGGAGCTAATGTTTAGTTTCTGTTTTCATCACATTGTTAAATCTCATTACACGATACTGTAGTATTCCATTCAAGCATTGTCTCAAGTTCTAAAGTTTTTCTAGTTCAAGTAAAATCTTTATTAGGTAACTTCTAAAAAAGAGCTTATTTGCAGTATTTATTGTTAAAGCGAACCCTGTGGGGCATGACTCAAGTGGTAGAGCACCTACATGCCAAGCAAGCAGGAGGCCCTTAGTTCAAACACCAGAGAGAGAGAGAGAGAGAGAGAGACACACACACACACACACACACACACACACACACACACACTCTCTCTCTCTCTCTCTCTCTCTCTCGGTGGAAGAAACATTAAAAACTTAAACCCTTCAAGGGAATCTGTTGAAAACAGATTAATGAATGATATATTTCATACCAATACAAAAGCAAAGAATCCTTTATACTAAGTATTTTATTATATGCTGCTGCCAGTGTATATAAAACAATTACCTTTGTGAAATAGAAATTCATGAAAATTCGGGGAGGTAGATGTTAAGAACTGACAAAAGCAGAAGTCTGTATATTATGGCACATATGCTATAGAGAAGCTTTTGTACAGGCTTCAAATTTAGCTTTCTTCAATATTCACTGGTTCAGGAAAAATGGCTTGGGAAACCTGAAAGGGGAAATAAAAGACAACTTAAGGTTAAGTATCAAAGAATACAGCTTTTTACATTTTCCCACCAATCCTTAACTATTATCCTTGTTTTGATTTCTCAAGTTTTTTATAAATTGCTCATGTCCTTTGCCTGTTTTTGTGAGTAGCAGCACATTTTGTACAGATGGTCTCTGACTTCACCTTTGCAATACATACTCATTAGAAACTACTTCAAGCCTTGAATATTAACCTTTTCTGAGCTAGGAATGTTTAGTATGGTGTCTCTCAAGGCAGTGGGGAGCAGCAGCAAATCACAGCTCCCAGTCTACTACATGACCAAAAGGGTAAACAACTAATACCCTATAGATGTGCTGTGTTAATAAGCTGTTATGTTTGATAGTCTAAATGCATTCTTAATTTGCAATGGGTTTATTGGGATGTAACCCTATCCTAACTCAAAGGAGATACATTACAGGGTTCTGAAAAATGAAAAATAGGATGGGAAAAGCCTGTGGTATGTATGGCAAGCAGTAAAATCCAGCTTTCTCTTAATTTTCATAACCACTCTGAAGTATCTATCATTTTGTTTTATAAATAAACAGACTTACAGATTAACTTGCTAAGATTACTGCTGAAATAAACTCTGTATCATAATAAAAGTTAATATAAGTCTCAAATCAAGAAATATCTGGGCTGGGGCTGGCAGAGTGGCTCAAGTGGTAACAGTGCCTGCCTAGCAAGCACAAGGCTCTTGAGTTCAAACACCCATGCTGCCAAAAGAAAAAAAAAAAAAAAGTTCTGAACATCTTTGGAAAAATAAAAGTATTTGGAGAATAACTTGGTAATATATAAGATGCAGTCATACTCTGTTTACCTAAATAAACTTAAACACAAAATGTGCAAGGTTATTGGCCATAGTAGTGTTTAACAGCATAAACAGAAACAGCTTTAATGTAACTCAGTAGGGGAAAGGACAGACCAAGGTATACATATGATAGGATACTATGTTAACAGTTTAAATGAATGAATGGGCTATACAGATAAATTCAAATCTCAGAGATACAGCAAACTATTATGCCTTAAAGATATTTTAAAACTAAAATGCATTAAGTATATATGATAGAAAGTAAAAACATAGGCATACCAGCTTGAGGATAAGTTATCTATACAGAAAGGTAGGAAAGGTATAATAATCCATTTTATCTACTTTTAAAAACTTAACGAGGTAAAGCATTTAGCTAAGAATGGTACACACATGATTCACCTTTGTACTAATTTGAGGTATTTTGTAACAAATGTTCGAGAGGTATAAGCAAAATTGATGTTATGGTGAATAAAACATGAAAAAGTTTGTAACTTCACTTAAAACAATAGCAAAGAGACTCAGGTTGTTTGGCAAGATTTCAGCAAAAATGCACTCATGCGCATAGTAGGAGATGAAAGCATTAAATTGGCAGTGCTCATCAAGTATTACTGACGTTTTCAATGTTCACTCATTATTGATTCATTTTACTTCTAGAAATTTTTCTGAATAAGAGGTAAGTATACATACAGTCACCAAGATGTTTTCCTCACTGCAGCCTCAAATTTGGAAACTTCAATATTAAATGAAGTATAATTAAGTTGTAGTGCAACCATTGAAAATCTTGTTTATAAAGAATATTTAATGACATAGGAAAATTCATTAAGTGTTCTTAAAAGGCAGAATGTAAAATTGCCCATACTGTGGTACTTATTTTTAAAAAATAAAAATCTTTTTCCTCCAAAAGGAAATATATGTTAACAGTGGCTATTTCCAGGCGCCTTGGGTCATGGTATTATTTTAATGATAAGAACCACATAATTTAAAAATGCTATATTTATAAGTATACAGCCTTCAATGTAGATTTTTACATCCATGCACTCAAGGTGGGATTAGGACCATCAGCATCTAAATGTAAGATGAGAACATGTAAGAAATGCAGGTTCCAGAGCCTTATCTCAGACCTACTGGATTATGATATAATATGCATTTTAAGAAGGTGATTTGTAGATATATTCAAGTTTTTAAGAAGCAATGCTTATACCCAAATATCCTTTCCTTAGCCCAAAATGCTTCATCCATAACAACCCACAATTACTTATGGGATTGATAGTCATATTTTGCTTTGAAATCTGTGTTCTTATCCCAGTCATAATTATAAAATTAAGCAAGTCACTTAAACACTTATCTGTAGACTCCTATGTAAAGTAAAACTGTTAACAGAATGCTCAGACCTCTTGACAGTATTTAAAATGAAAACAAACCACACTGTAAATACAAGAGAAACTGAAGTTACAGAACTTTTAGTAAACCATAAAAATATGAATCTTCTAGCCTGGCACCCATGGCTCATGCCTGTAATCTAACTACTAGGGAGATAGAGATCAGGAAGACAGCAGTTCAAGGCCAGCCCAAGCAAATAGTTCCTGAGACCTTATCTAGAAAATACCCAACACAAAAAAAGGGCTGGTGGAGTGGCTCACAGAGTAGAGTACCTGCGTGGCAAGTGTGAAGCCCTGATTTCAAACCCCAGTACCACCACAAAAAAAAAAAAAAGAAAATTCTAAAAGCTCCCACAAAGAACTAAATGATTGTTGCCAGAAGCAAGGAAATACGTTAAGTATATAAGAACCTGGTACCTGCCTGGCGCTGGAGGCTCATTCCTGTAATCCTAGCTACTCAGGAGACAGAGATCAGGAGGACTACAACCTGAAGCCAGCCCTATCTCGAAAAAACCCTATCACAAAAAACTGGGCTGGTAGAGTGGCTCAAGGTGAAGGTCCTGAGTTCAAGCCCTAGTACTGCAAAAAAAAAACCAAACAAACCCTCTGGTATCTAAAAGTGTGGCTTTTGCTCCCTGATGTTTCAAAAAAAACTTAGCCAATTTTAACCAATCACTGTATTTATACACAGACTTCCTGGATACTCCCAAGTCTACAAAGCTTAATTAGGGAGGGTACATATACGTAACAAGGTATTTTTGGACTTTTCAAGTCAGAGTATTAGTAAAGGGTGTGTGCCTATAAAAAAAAGTTGTTTTTTTAATGCATTATTAAAGTTTGTTTCTCAGTTCCTAATTCAAATACACACCCTACCAAAGCATGTTTTTGGTCACGTCTTTTGTACAAACAGGTTTCTGCAAACATGATATTTGATTGGGAAGATAAAAATATATAAAGTGTTTTAATAAAACACAAGTCATTAGTTTCTTAACCCTCTGAAATCCAGTCCACTGTCTGTCTGCCAACACATACTGAAATACTTCATTTATCTCACATTGTATCTTTGCCTAACAAATGAGAAAAAGGAGTAAAAACTGTTACTCCTTACTCTGTATGTCTGTTCCAGGTAGGCTTACTTAACCAGGACTTTCCCAATTCTTTGCTATATTGCTCTATAGTTAAGTTCTACTATGCACTAACACCAGAATTACTCCAAAGGAATTAAGAGTACTTAATTCATCTACATAAATACTGCAGATTTTGTTAATTGTCTTTTACTAGGTACATAAAACAACAAAAAGCATCTGAAGAGCCCAAAATATACTTGCCATTAGGCCAGTGTTGTAAAAAATAACATATGGCTTGTGCCAGCAGTAGAGTTTATAGTAACTCTCCTATACCCTTCTTTACAAAGGGTTATTAGTAAATCCTATATTAACCTTATGATGAAATAGAAACAATTAGTCGTCAGGACTACTGAATCAGTAAATTTCATCAATCCTAACTTTCCTGCCAGAACAGAAAAAGACGGAAATTTGGAGTGCCAAACAAAACTGCATGACTTGACCTTGTCAGTGCTGCAAATAAAGAGACCTGACTAGTTATTCCTACTATGTAGGATTTTGTTGTATTTAAGGAAACTTACCTCTGAAAGATTTGACTACAAAAAGGAGCAGACTTTCTGGGGTCTGAAGGGATTTGTACTTGAAGACACTCCAGTCAGCAGGGGGTCATGTTGAGCATTCTGCAGACAGAATTGTTTCAAGTCTGCAGCTGCCTGGGAAACCTATATAAAACAATGAGAAGGGGGAAATGCCAGTTGGTAAGGTTTTAATGGTTTCTGTAGATCTTTGGAAATACTTGAAATAAATAGCACTTCTCTTCCCTCAAAAGATATTTATGTTAATTGAAGACAAGCAGTCATATACTGGCTCATACTTAAAACACTGCTAGTAAATAAGACTGAATTATAGTATGTTTTTTCTTGCTTATTAGAAGCATTGAATGATTCAATACAAAATACAATTACATTTATGTATAAAGCATAGCATGTCTTGTTTATTAACAGGCTTTCCAGTGTGAGCCTTAACACCTTGTTTTTTATTAAAAGCAGCACATGGTATTAAAGGTTAAACAGAAAGTGTTATTCTAGCAAACTATTACTGTCTTGAAAGCTGTATTGCTGGAAAAATGCTACTATGAATAACTAGCATAGAATTTAGAAAATCATACACTGATCCATTCAGTATATTGTTCCTCAAATTTACAGACTCATGAATTCATTCACATAAATATCTACTATTTGTACATTTTCTGGTTAGGTGATTTAGGATATAAGCAACATAACCATAGAGCTATAGAAGTTCTTTAAAATCCTATTTGGGGAGCATTGCATACATATATGAACATACTAAATCACATGAGGCAAGAACACAATTTCTTAAAGACTGCCTGTTCAGAAAGGTTGTTAAACAGGTTTGCTAACTAGCCTTTCAAGTCACATGACATAGAGCAGATAGTAGTCACTGTCAATATTAAGCAGTTGATAGTACACTAATAGAGAAACAACTGAATGGTTCCATGTAGACCATGATTGATTTAAAAAGATGCCCCAAAGACATCTAATACCCTCAACATTTGTCTTATTCTCAATATTAACTATCAAGCAAATTTCCACTCCTCTGCCTATGTGACCTTAAGAGTTAACAGCATCACAGATACTATCTATACCAAGAGCCCTTCAGAATGTAGCTATATTCCAGACTTAATTTTTAAAAAAATCTATTAAACTGAGCACTGGTGGCTCACGCCTGTAATCCTAGTTATTCAGGAAGCAGAGATCAAGAGGATGAGATTTGAAGCCAGCCAGGATGCACAGTTCATGAGACCCTATCTGGAAAACACAACCATCACAAAAAAAAAAAAAAAAAACACACTCCATCACAGGTGGAAAGGCTCAAGGTGTAGGCCCTGAGTTCAATCCCCAGTACCACCCAAAAAAACCCCAAAATTCACAAACGAGGGCTGGCTGAGTGGCTACAGTGGTAACACCAGCCTAGCCTGTAAGAAGCCCTGAGCTCAAATCCCAGTGCCGCCAAAAAAAAAAATGCAAAAAAATCTGTTACTCTGAGATGAATCTAAACTTCTCAAATCAATTTGTGTTTGGCTTATACAACAGTCTAGGCTAATGAGTCTCACAGGTTTATATGCTCCCGTGTATAAGAAGTACCTGCACTTTTTAAATACTTGCACCAAATAGTTTTACAAATGGCCACACCCTGCCTCCTCTCCCTTACAAAAGAGTAGCTAAAGTAGGGTAATGGATAGTATCTGTTTTCACAGTATTAGTGTCTGGTTTCATTCACATCAACCAGCAGTAAGCATACAGTAAAATACCTATTAATTTTTGTTTAAACTGTAGGTAGGGTCCTAATTTCCTTTCACAAACTTCTCACATACCATTATGTGCCAGCTATACTCTCAGGCACTGAAAATAAACAAACAGATCCTTACTGTTAAGTGGCTGACCATACAGGGGAAAAAAGACAAGGTGTCCTGCTGAAAGAAGAGTGATTTGTTAAATGACTGGGTGGCCACCCTAGGGAAGGTGTCTAAGTTGACATTTTAGGTGGAATCTCAATAATAACCATGCAGCCAAATAACCATCAGTGAAAAACAGCATTCCAAATGGAGGGAAAACCTGAGATTCAACCTGGACAAGTTTCTAGCTCCAGGTATGATAACCGCCATCCAGGAAGTTGAAATCATGACCCTGGCCTAATAATACTAGTGGCCCCTTTACACTCAAAAGTATCCTGAACTATCTTTGGGAGAGTTTGCTAAGCATTTGTGATAATTTTTATCAGTTGTACTCAAATATAAGGGCTAAATATAATAAATTTGTGCTAATTTTGAAATGTCACCAAAAACCACCTAGCACACAGATACACTTACATGAGATGGAACCTAATCACACTTGGCAACATGTCCAAAGCAAAATCACTTAAAATCCCAAAGATACCCTCCCCTCTTTGCCACAACACTAGCATCAAGCAAAAATTGAGGACTCCAAAAACCAAGTCATCTATGTTGGTTTTAAAGATGCCAACCAGAGGCCTACAGGTATACAGGGCAAGATCACCAGATCAGGCTGGGGAGTTGGGGAGGAGACAGCTAGGATTTTCAAGGTGAAGGAAGCGCTTAAGAGTCTGAGGACTTCATCTCATTTTCTTTAGCGACTAGAGCTTAGTATTACATTTACTTCTTTCACCAGCCTTTTTTTTTTTTTGCCTCCCAGGCCTCCACCGTCACCCCCCCCCCTTTTTTTTTTGTTTTCTGGCTCACTTCAATCTATGATAATGGCACACATGAATAATATAATGGTTAAGACAATTTCAGAGCTAAATCTAGCCAAGACTGCCTAAGCCACAGGGAAGAGGGTGAGAATTTGAAAATGAGAGACATGGATTCCAAACCAAGGCTGATAGGAGTTTCCCTTCCCTCTTGGAGTCACCACAGCCACTTCTAATTAAGGAAGCTAAGTAGGAGCCCTCCCTACACAAAACACTATAGGAAAAAAGTAAAGATTAGCCTGATGTATGTGAAATCATCTGGGAAACCTGCTGCTTCTAGCAGGGTATGTGATTTATACCCTTCCGTTTCTTTTTTCAATCACAAAAAATGTTTCGCATGTAACCTGACCTACTGCATCACAAAGAAGCCAATCCGTTTCGGATTTTTAAAAATAAGGAAATACTTGGAATAGTACTTTGGATGTCAGGTTGTCCTATTAACCACGGCAAAAAGGCTTTTCTCCCAAAGCAAACATTCCAAGACAAGGCCAATCCTACCCAGACGCCAAAATAAAACCAACAGTGGCCAGCTCTAATCACTCTCTCGGGCGTGTGGACCAGTAAACAGATATCCACAAGGTCAGACCCCAACAAAGTGTGCCCAACAGGTGTGAGATGCACGCTTTGTTCCAGACGAGCGGGGCAAGCTTGGTAACCTTGGGCTCCGGAACGTTCCGAAAGCAAACTTGCTTACCCCGCAGTTTAAAGTTAACCAGGAATTCAAGTGTGTGTCCAGTGGACGAGGACATATGGACGTAAGATTCTATTGCCAAAGGGGGAAAAGTGGGGACGATCTGAAGTGAAAAGAGTAAGAGTCAAGAGTCGGATCACAGCCGTCCAGCGCCGAGGACGAGCGGAGGCTGCAGGGGAGGACAGCGAAGGGGAGACGCCCGGGCGAGGCCAGCTGAGGACTCGCCGCCCAGCGAGGGAGGGAGGAGGGCCGGAACGCGGGCCGTGGAAAGTCCTGGGCGGAAGGGCGGGACACTCGGTCCCCAGGCCACAGCGCCCACCGCCCGGCGACTCCTCCACAGCCCGCGGCGACTCCTCCACAGCCGGCCCACTCCGGGGTGGTGGCCGCCCGGCGCGGGAGCGAGAGGCTCCGCTCCCACCGCCTTCCCCTCCCCCCGGGCCTCCCGCTTACCTTCACGCGGTTGAGCCCGGCCTCCAGCCGGAGCTGCTGAACCACCTTTTTCATAGCGGCGACGCTGGAAGAGCCAGACATGGCGCACGAGAGCTGGTCCGAGGGTCGGCAGGTCGCGGGTCGGCGGAGCCAGACGGCGGGGAAGCGCGCGGAGGGGGCGGGGCTCCGAACTTCGTCTCCAAGTTTCCGGTTCTGTGTCTGGGACTCCACCCTCGGCGCGCATGCGTGGCTGCGCCGCCCTGGGTTCCATCCCGACGTCCCCGCGGGAGCTCGAGCCCCGGAGCGCTGGGGGAGAAGGGGCGGAGCGGTCGGTGGGCGCGGCGGGCGAGTGCGGCCAGACCCTGGCCTCTCCTTCCCTCCACCCGGAGACTGGTGTGGTTGAGGTAAGGACCGTGAGGGAAGTCAGGTGTTTGAGGGAGTTTCTAAAACCCCTGGGCTTGAGGGAAAGTAGGGAGCCCAGTCGAGGCGTGGGAGAAGAAGCACCCGCCCGCCCCCAGTCAGTCGTGTCCGACCGGGTCCCGAGTCCACGCCGCCGTCAGACCCCCGAGGGGGAAGGAAGGGGACCCGCGGCCCCGTAACCGCCGGGGTCCCGGGCGGGGGTCCGGGGCACGGATGGAGAAGTCGGGTGGAGAAGGTGACACCCCTCTCTGTTACCCAGTTCGTTTGGGATACTTTTTAAACACAAACTTTCCTTTTGTGTTGGGCAACTTTTATTCTTGTATTTCGGTTGTAATTGATTATCTTCTGCTTGCAATCGAACCCCAGGGGAGTTTAGGAAAGCTGGATTGTAGGGTTTAACCGTACAAAATAGGCTCAGCCGAGGCGTCTTGCCCTGTGTCACCGCGCCTGAGAAGTTTCCGTTTCTGGTGGGGTAGTCCAGCCGCAATACCTGTGAACATGACTCACTCCATTCCAACTTAGGTGCGTTTCAACGGTTTTGCATGGTGGGAAGATCATGTGTGATTTGTTTTGGATCAGCAAATCCCAACCAGTTTTTTAAACAGTTTGTTAAATCTGTTTACAAAAACGTGCTTTCTGGGGCTGGGATGTAGCCCAAAGGTAGAGCTCTTGCCCATCTTGCCCGAGGTCTTGGGTATCATTCCCAGCACCAAAAAAGAAAAAAAAAAAAAAAAAAAGTGCAGTCTAAGTTTAGCATTTAATTCCTACAGTGGATATAATGACGGATTAAAAACCATGATTTGGATTCTGATTCTACTAATTATTATGGGTATCCTTAGGCAAGCCATTTAAACTTCACAGAGCCTCTTACTTCCTTATTTGGAAATGAAATAAAGATTCCTGGAGTCGTTTTTGAGAATGAAATTATGTATGTAAAAATATGAAAGATACAAAAATAAATATTGTTTCTCTCTTTTCTCCAATAGTAAATTATTTCTTCTCTTGGTGCCTTGTTGAACTATATAATGCGTTAAAATCTCAATCATACTTTACAGATTTGTAAGATTAAACACAAGTAAGTTTACTCAAGGACTGTTCTATTTTTCAGTATTTCTTACTCTAATGTAAGAATGAAGACTGTTGAGAAATAAGCAAAGCCTATATTGTGTTTTAGGCTTAAAAACAGGAAGTTATTTTTTTAACTACTAGGGATACAGAGTGTATTGCTGTCATAAGCACCATGTATTATCTTTGTTTTTGTAGTATGTATTTAATAAAGGATCTGATTTGGGATAGAAAAGAAGGAGCGGGGGGGGGGGGGGGGGGGGGGGGGGAACAAGTCCCTGTAAATTCAGTTGCATCTGAAGTGATCAGCAGCAGCAAATATAGTTCAGGTACTATCAATATCTCCTAAACCAACAAGTCTGTTCTTTGATCTTTCACAGTGATCTAAGATATTGTAAAAGACCTTACTATCCATAGGAATTTACATTTTAGACGGTAAAAGACAGACCATGTTCTAAAACCAATTTGATCATGACAGGATATAATAATGAGTAGCAAGAAAATGCAAGAAGAAATCTGTCATTTTATATTTTGTCAGCAGAGCATCATCCATTTAAATTTACCTGGGATCTTTACCTTACTCAACTAGTACTTAAGTTCTTCAGTTCACTGGGTCTTAGTTCAGTATTTGCATAAATAAAATGCTTTTAAGATTCACACGCCTTGCGGTTTAAGCACCAGATCTCTTTAAAGGGAGATTTCACAATGTGGAATCCTTTCTCAAAGAATGAATTTATATTATTCTGTTTATAATTACTAAAGAAATTGAAGTTTGTAGCGAATGAATGCTTGTGGGTGTACAGCTAGTTTGTGGAAGAAAAAAACCAGAACTTTGTCTCTTAATTTTTATCCTGTCATACAGGTAATGTAGTTCTTTCTGTGGAATTGCCCATATATTGGAGTAGTAAGTAGTTTTCATAACTAAATATAGAACTATACAGAAATTTGATTAGAAAAAATACTAAAAGGCGGTAAGATACCTAGTAATAGGGTGGGTCAGAAAACTTCATTGTATTTTTAGCTCACCATCTATGGATATTATCCATGTTCAGGGAATGAGATAACATTAAATATATTTATTTTTAAAAATTAACATTTTTTTCTTTTTCCTTACAATATTAGCCTTCATCTCATGTTATGGTTTGGATGTTAAATGTTCCCCCAAACACCCATGTACTAAAGGCTTAGTCACCAGTCTGTGATGCTATTTGTAGGTGATAGAACCTTAAGAGAGCCCTAGTGAAAGAAAGGTCATTAGAAGTGTACTCTTGAATGGGATATTAGGACTCTGGCCCCTTCCTCTGCTTCACTTCCTGGCTGCTATGAAGCGAGCATCTACTCTGCCAAGGTGTACTGTGCTGCTATAGGCCCAAAGCAACAGGGCTAAGTGACTGTGTACTGAAACCTCTGAAATCATGAGCCCAAATAAATCTTATCTCCCGATAAGTTGTTTAAGATATTTTGTCACATTGAAAAGCTGACTAATGTAGTTTAGTAGTTATAATTCTCCAAAAAATGATAAAAAGTGGGTTTTTTTGCTGTTGTCCCTTTCTAGAGGCTTAACGAAAGGTACATGGGGAAATGATCAGTCTTTTATCACTGGACATGGGTATAGTTAAAAAACTGTGTATTCCTTCATAAACAAAGAGGATAAAAGTATTCTTTCTACTTCTGTTTATAAACCCATGCTTATGTTTCCATTGTGTGTTGACACTGTTGACTAGTACAATCCCCAAGAACGAGAGAAGGTTTTGTTTTCTGCATCCAACCTTATACTTAAAACTGAATCATTTTCATTCTTAAACTTTGTCTGCTTTTGGAATATAAACTTTGAGAGACTCTGTAACTAGGCATTCAAATACCAGTTAGGAAGAGACGCATCAGTTGTATTGTGCATCTTAGTTCAGGTTTATGCTGGCAAGAAGATAATTCTAGCCCTTTAAAAATTTATATAATTTTTGTATTTGAACAGAAATTAGCTGAAAATATCCTATTGAGGTATTAGAATTATAAAAACTATACTTGCTCAAAAGGGAGATATGAAAAAAATGTGTAATTCCTTTTTCTAATATAGATTCTAATCCTGTATCATCAGTTACTCTCTGTGAGACCCTTCATCTAAAATGTGCCTATATGACCTGAGAAAATCCCAAATCAAGACAAGCATGCCAAAATTTTTTGTCTACATTAGCAACCTATATAAAAAATAAGACTTCATTCTTCAGTTAGTCCTATATTAAGGACCTTAAATATATACAAGTTTGGAGTGCCTTCAGGCATTTTAACCTGTTTACCTAAAACAACCATTTAAATGGATTAAAACCTTATTTACAGGTTAACCACGAATTAGATAAAGCAAAATTCTCAAGACATAGATGTAACAATTTATCCTGATCAGATTGACTTCATGTCTTGATGATTTAATAATCAAGAATTATGTCAAGAAGTACTCCCATCTTGTGGCATGAATTTGACTATATTCTGATAGTGATAACTATCCCTTATCACTTCCCACTCCTCAGATAATCAAAGAATTTTAGAGTCCATGTCACTTTCCTCACATAGACAGTGAGTCTCAGACCAGTGAATGGTCTTGGAGGGTGTATAGGACTACAAACCTGGCCCCAGGGCTAGAATGTAGCATGGCAAGGCCCTGAGCTTGAGCCTCAGCACCAAAAATAGAAAAGAGGAAAGAAAGAAACCTAGCTCCCAATTCATTTAATTTGTGTGAAATACTAATACACTAATATAGTAGACTATATTTGTATGTTTAAATATAGCCCATGTCAGGTTCCCGATTTAAATATTAGAATTTCTACCACCCATGGGGCATCTTTTTGTATGCCCTATTATCAAATAAGACAGGAACTAAACATTATCAGAATCCTATTTCTAGGCACTGAACAGAGTATCAGATATTCTTAAGCTTGATTTTCAGCTCTGCTACTTTAAAAGTCATCCTTCCCAAACCCACACTTGACTGTGATAATCAGTTTCTATACTTTTTTCAGCACTTGTACTTAGGCCAGATGCAGCCTTGGGGCCTGTGATGGTTAAACTTTATTGTCAACTTGATTGAATTGAGACTTGCCTGTGTCTGTGAGAGTGTTTCTAGAGAAGATTAACTGAGCAGAAAGAAGTGCTCTGAATGTGGTTGACCACATCCCATAAGCTAGGATCCTGGATAGAATAAAGAGGGGAAAGGAGAAGTCACTAGGGCAGGCATTCTTGCTCTCTCCTTGTCTGCCATGAGGTGAGCAGCATCTGCCACATGTTCCTACCACTGTCATTTTCTACCTCATCATGGCCCCAGAATCAACAGAACTAAAGATGACTGAAGCCTCTGAAACTAAGCTGAAATAAATCATTCCTCTTTTAAGTTATTTTGTCACAGTGACAAAAAGCCAATATAGTGTACTTTTCAGTAACTTTTATTTATTGTGTGATTCTGGGAGTCAAATCCATAGCCTTGCACATGTTAGACAAGTGCTGTGCCACTGAGCTACTACTCAGCTTACTAACTCACTTTTAGAAATTCAGTACCAGTGGATAGGAATTAGTATGCAAGAAAAAGTTGATTTCCCATTTCAGTAGGGAGTTACTGGCCAAAATTTTGTACTCAACGTGAGATTAGATTGGAACTCTACAATCACTTTATCTTTGCTCATTGAGTTTCCTTTTCTTTGAAGTGTTGGCATTATTTTGTTCGTTAGCTAATTAATAATAGGTAAAAAATTTGAAAATTCCAAATGTTATACGTCAGGATTTAGTATGTGAAATGGTTAGGATCAACTATAAATTCTAAGCCTGCCTACAGTTTTAAGTAGCCTCTTGGCTGTAATAGGAAAGACTTAAGTTATTTGAAGCAATGTAATGACCAACACAGAGTATACTGGAGATAGATTCTCCTTGGAATTCCAAAAATAAGAACTGTCCTACTGATGGACCAAACTGGAAGTAGATCCAAGGCTCAGACAGTAAGAATTCTTAACCCTTCCCTATAATGCCTAGTTATAAACATGAAACAGCTATGTATTTTGTTGCCATAATGAGTTCAGTTACTCTATTTTTAATGTCTTTTTGCTATTTCCGTTTATAAATAATTTTAGTTTTTTCACAATTTGAGCTCTCTCATGGCTATGATAATACTTCATGACTTCTTTCAACATTCTTTTTGCTTCAATATCTACCAACTAATACTTGAATATTGAGCTTTTCACCCAATTCCAACTCCTAAGGGCTCATCTTTTTATATCAGGCCATTTTGTTTCTGGCCAGCCAGCCCAAGATTTTGTTTCCAGCTCTTCAGTCAGAAGTGACAAAAGTAAGCTGGGCATGGTGCCCCAAGCCTATATACTCAGGAGACTGAGAAAGAAAACCATGAAAATAGTAGTTCTAATAGCTCAAAATATGGCTTCTTTGCTGTTCTTTAGAAAGAATAATATAGCAGGGAAGTTTACCTTAGGACAATAGTAAAGCATGTCTTTATTGATCTGTCTTGAGCTTTCTTAATTAAAATTTGTTCTGAATTAAAATACCAAGTTTTTAATATTTCTACAAAAATGAAAATTTTAGTTTCTTAATTTGCATTCCAATGGATGAATTCCCATGCACTATAATAATTATAGATTATTACCACTAATTCTTATCTGTTAGAAAGTGACCATAAATGTATCTGAGTCATGCTTCATTTAGATTCATAACAGAGTAATATTAATCAGTACAATGGGAGAAAGAGCTTTTGAATAGACATAAAAATGGAGCTATATAAATGTTTTCTTAAAATATTCATGTATTTAAAGTAGTGCTGAAAATGGTCAAAATGATAAATCACATTTTAAGTTTTTAATTATTCTAAGAAATTTATATAGGAAGTAAAATGTAAAAGTGGTTTAGAAGATTGAATATCCCAGGAAATAATTTTTAATATAAGCCAAGACAGAACAGTGCTTTGAAATCTCAAAAAAAAAAAAAAAAAAAAAAAAAGCCTCTACTGTGACATTAGTATAATTAGTTTATCCTTAAGGACTGGCCAACTTTGAGGATTCCTTTCTAGAGTAATAATTCAGCTACCTTATTTTTCAATTTTTACTCTATATTTATGTGTCATATTATCATGCATTCCTAAACACTGCCATAAATTCCATGAGAAAAACACAGGAAATGATATACAAATGATACCTGATATATTTAAAATAAAAACCAGTATTTTTATCTGGAATGATTGTTTACATTTATTAAGACACCTAAGCCTGAAAAGAAATGCATATAGGAAACAATTTTCATCATTCAACACCCATTTGTATGAAATTCAGTCTTTCCACTTCCAAAAGTATATTTCTATGTTACAAAAATTCTGTATATTTAACTTATATTTGAAACTGAGAAAATGAATTGTTTAGTAAAATATGTTCTGGTCAGAAGTCCATTGTAATATAATGTACCAGTTTACTTAATTATCCTTGACTTAAGATGAAGTTATATTCTGATAAAGCAATTATAAGTAAAATATCAAATGTATTTAATATACCTAACCTGCTGAATATTGTTTCTTAGCAACAGTACCATACAGAATATTACCTGTTCACTCTTATGATCTTGTGGCTCACTGCTTTTGCCCAGAATTGCAAGCGATTATCAAACCACACATTGCCAGCCAAGAAAACATTGAAGCTCTAAATTTGAAGTCCAGCATTGCTTTCCTACCATCATAAGCTGGGGACCATCTATATAGAATATAGATGAACATATGTTCATTCCATTGCAATTACCAGCCTACTCACCAGAAGTGTCTTTTTTTTTTTTTTTTTTTCTTTTGTGGTACTGGGGTTTGAACTCACCTTGAGCCACTCCACTAACGTGAAGAGTTTTTTCAAGGTAGGTCTTGCGAACTATTTGCCTGAGCTGGCTTTGATCTTCCTGATCTCTGTCTCCTGAGTAACTAGGATTACAGGTCTAAGCCATTGGCACCTAGCTCAGAAATAAGTCTTTTAATTAGCACAATAAAATTATATACATTTCTAAGTTTCCATTTCAGCCTATTTTAAAGCTTTTTGTGTTTTTGTTTTTACTTTTTGAACAAATCAGAGATCAGAAATAAGTGGAATGCTATCTCAAACAAGCCAAAAATTTATTTAATATTTGTTTAATACTACTTAAACGAAGAGAGATTTAAAAAAAAAAAACAACAACAAAAATCCAACTGATAATTATTCTATTCAGACATTGGTGAGTATGTTGCTCAATCCAAGTCGACCTTCCTCATCAGAGGTAAGAAAATTATGCTTGTCATTGGTTTTGAAAAGTTTTGATAAGTAAAATGTGACCAGGCACCAGTGGCTCACGCCTGTAATCCTACCTCCTTGGGAGGCTGAAGTCAGGAGAATCACAATTTGAGACCAGACTGGGCAAATAGTTTGTGAGAACCCCAATTCCAAAATAACTAGAGCAAAGTAGATTGGAGGTGTGACTCAAGCAGTAGAGTGCCACCTACTTTGCAAGTGCAGAATCCTGAGTTCAAACCCCAGTCCCACAAAAAAATTTACATGATTCAAACTTCGTGTGTCCCTTATCTGATTGTGTTTCTTGCATTTCTAGCTCATTTTCTCTAGTACTCTGTATGGAGACTTCCAATGAATTGATCCTATCACCTTTTTTTACTGTTTCTCAACTGGTGATATCCTCCATATCCTAAATTTCATAGAGCAATTTTGATTACTCTTTTGCTCATACTTTTGACTCCTGGCCCTGTCTTGCTTCATTGTACTCTTTGAAAAACAAAAACTGGTTAATTCCTTTCTACTCCATTGAGTAGCTGAGTATAGCTGGAGAAACATACCAGCATAAGGACTATTCTAATTTTAAATTCGTGGCCATGTATCTCAAGTGGAATCTTTTGCTGTTTGGCAGTCATTCTATCTGCCACTCAGTCACTCTACTCTTCCCCTCTTCTACCCAAGTATTTCATACCTTCTCAAACCCCCAATACCTTCTCCCCATTCTCTCTTAAAATACTTCCAATCAAGTTTTCACCTGTCATAAAACTACTGTTAAACTCATCTCTTCATTACTAGATCTGTTGGTTAATTCTTGTTCTAAACATACTTGTTCTATCTGTGCATCACAGTTGACACAATCACTTTCTCATCCTTGATATAATTCCTTCACTTTGCTTCTAGCATACACATTGTCATGGGTTTCTTCATACATCCCTGGTTATTCATTCCTAGTCTTTTTTTTTTTTTTCCTGGATCTTCATCTTCTTCCTGACCTCTTAATATTGAATTATCTCAGGGTTCAGCTCTTTGTTCTCTTCTCTTTCTGCACTCATTACTTTATAGTCTCATCCAGTCTAATAGATTTACATACCAACTTTAGGATAAGTATTTCCACATTTTTATTCCCATCTCAGTCCTTTTTCTCAAAAACCAGTTTCATGTATGCATTTTTCAACTGACTACTTGACATCTCCATTTAGATAATGAATAGCCATCTCAAACTTAACATGTCTGAAACTAGATCTTTTTCCTCTCTCAGAAATATGTACCATCTGTGACTTTCCCCATCTCAGGTGATAACAAATCTGTCCTTTTAGTATTTGAGTCCAAATGCTTTAGAGTCATACTTGATTCTTCTTACATACTTGTGTGAGAGCAAATGAAGTGATTGATTTGGAGGCAGAGTGCATTGTTGTCTAGTCGCATGCCCCATACAGTAAACTAATTACTAATGTTTTTGTATGTGCATATCTCCGTATGAATACAGTTGGCCCTGCTCTAAGGAATAAGGTCGAAGCCCATGAAGTACCAAGATTGTCTGCTTTAGTAGCCAGGTCAAGAATAGTAGAATTGAATTCGTGGGCTGATTTATAGATACCACTGCCAGGACTACCTATTTACTACTAGCACATTGGCCTGAGTCACCATATCTCACGCTTTAATTTCTCTAAAGCTTCGTAACTGGCTCCTTTTCTTGCCCCGACACTGTTTTGGGTATTCTCTTAACCCAAGTTGTTACATTTGTAAATATTTTAAAAGAAAGCATTATTTGTTTCCTGATATAATGCAATGTGAAATAGAGGGCACCATTCATAATATATTCTCATCCCCACATGGTTAACCTGTGTCATTTGATGGCAGGACAGTTAATTGTCAAGGAGGTGGAGGGATTGCAGAAATAGGTTAAATAACACATAAGGGTAAATTCAAACTGCAGAACATTCTGTAAGATAACTGACTCAAACTCAATGCCATGAACGTTAAAAAACAGGTTTGGGAAACTTTGAGGTTAAGGTTTTAAGAGTACATAACAACCAAATGCAATATGTGACTTTTTTTCAGGGGACTGGGTGGGGTTTGAGACAGGTTTTACTTTGTAGCTTCCTGGCCTTAAGCGTAACTATCCTTCTCTCTTAGCCTCTTGAGTGCTGGTATTATAGTCATGCCTGGCTTCCAGTATGTGATTTTTGATTAAATTGTAGATTGAAAAAATATCTCTAGGATAATTGGACCACTGGGAAAATTTGACAATGGACTGAATATTAAGATTGACATTAAGATTGTTAATTTCTAGATATGAAAGTAGTAATTGTATCAGTGAAGTCCTTATTTTTAAAAGATGGGTGCCAAAGTATTTAGGAATATATTATCATGTCTAATTTACTTTGTTCTATCAAGAAACAGAATGAATAAGCATAGCAAAATGTCAGCTTTCAAATATAAATTATAGATATTTGGACATTCATAATATTTCATTTGTATATATCTATGTAGAATTTTTCATATGAAACAAAAGTGTAAAATATTAAAACCCTGTACTTACTTCCCAAAGTAAAAACCTTACTATGGCCCAAAGACCCTACTTAATTTGTACTCTCTTTATCTCCTTTTCCCCTAACTTTATCTCCTACTACTTTCTCATTATTATGATTATGATTATTATTATTATTATTACTAATTTTTTTATGGTAGTGGGATTTGAACTTCAGGGCTTCATGCTTACTAGGCATACACTCTACTTCTGGTGCCACTGCCCTCAGCCCTCTGATTTCTTAAGGCTTTGTGATTACTTAGTAGTTTAGCTAGAGAGTGGTCTTTTTAATGCTCTGCTGTTCAAAATGCAGCATATGGCCAACATTTAAATGGTAGGTTAGTATTTCATCATCAGAAGTATAGAAGTTATTTATTTGGTTTATAAAACAACTTATGCAAAACCTACAGTTCAAGAACTGCAATTTTCCTCTAAAAATTGCTAATTTTACTAATAGTAGGTCATATTCAAACTTTTAAAGTTTTCTCACTTAATGTTGCAGTTAATATGACCATTTAAATCCTTTGACTTTATTTATTTATTTATTTATTTATTTATTTATTTATTTTGGCATGTGAATTGTATATTTGTGAGTGATAGCTTATTAAGGCTGTTTTTTTTTAATTTTTTTTTTCATTTTTCTTTTATTATTCATATGTGCATGCAAGGATTGGTTCATTTCTCCCCACTGCCCCCACCCCCTCCCTTACAAATCCTTTGACTTTAAATGTTCAGTGGTTATCAACCTTCTTTAGTCTAAACAATGAGACTCGCTATGCCATAATTGTTGTTTCTGTGATAGTAACCTAAATATTCTGAATAGAGAGCTTCTAATTAGTCACAACAGAACATTCATAGAAAAGTTGACCATTTGTCAAGCACAGAAGCACTTATAGACAGGCCCTGCAACAAAACCGCCTTCTTTCGGGAATCCTGAGGAACAAATATGTTCCCCCAAACAGGGTATTAACCCTTTTGTAGGTGCTAAGAGTTAATAACCCTTACAACTCCAGAAGGGAGATGATGTTCCAAGGACAGGATTCCATAGGTCACTTCAGTGGAATTGAGAGTATGGGGAAGTGGAGGAGGGATAAAGGTTGGTGAGAAGGAAAGTGGTCTTTACCACCTATGATTTTCACTACAGGCCGTAGAAAGAACACCATTTATCAAGGGTGCTGGGATAATCTAGGAGCCAATTATGTCTATGATATTGTTTTCTACCCCAAGTGCCAAGCAGCCAACAAACGTTTGGTTCTTTATCTTGTTTTTTTATTGTTTTTTGTTTGTGCTTCAGAGAAATGCATATATTCCATATGAATTTCAATTATGTTTATTAAATTTAAAATTCTGTAGGACATCAATTGATTTTTTTTTCCAATTTAGAAATATTTTAACTGATGTTCTTCTTATTCAGTTGGTGGAACTTCATGTTTTTTATGTCCCTGAAGGATCATGGAACTATAAGTTAAATACTATTTCAATAGAAGTTATTAACAAATTTATTTCTGCTGGATTTATAAGGTAAGTATTTTGTGGTCATGTAACAAAGGTACCTGAAAAAAGAGTATTTTTTTCTACAGAGAAATATGTTTTCTGAAATTTAAAAACTAAAGGTAAAAAACATTTGGTCCATGGGATGGATTTATTCCTAATTTAATAAATACTAGTAAGAAATAGTACATATGTGGCTCAAGTGGTAGCACACCTTCCTGGCAAGAGTGAGTTCAAACTCCAGTACTTCCAAAAAGGAAAAAAAAGAAATAGTACTATGTAACAGTTAAATCAAACATTACTATAGGAAAAAATGTCACTTGGCCAGAATACTACCACCCATAAAATGGTGTATGACTTGTGTTTTACTAAGATTATACACAAAAAGAATTAACAGAGAAGTTAGGTGGGCATGGTGGTGCACACCTGTATCCTAGCACTTGGAAGACTGAGACAGAATAGTGAGTTTGAAGTCAGCCTGAGCTACATAGCAAGATCTTGTCTCAAAAAACTGAATTGACAAGAGAAGTTATCTACAGTTAAAAACCTGTTGAAAAGTTATGAATAATAGTTAAAATATCAACAATGCTCTTAAAATTGTTTACAAATATAAACAAATATGTGTATTTTCATATTCATAGAAACACACGATACTACACAATCAGACCACCTGTATTCCTCTCTCTCTCTCTCTCTCTCTCTCTCTCTCTCTGTCTCTCCCCTCCCCCTCCCCTTCCCTCCAGTACTGGAGATTGAACTCAGGACCTTATGCTTACTAAATAAGTGCTCTACCACTTGAGCCATACCCTCAGTTCTTTTGCATTTAGTTTGTTTTTCAGATAAGGTCTCACACTAACTTTGCCCAGGGTGCCCTCAGACCTCAATCTTCCTACCTTCACCTCCTGAGTAGCTGGTCTACAGGGGTGTGCCCTCTTACCTGACTTGTTTTTGAGATGGGCGTCTCACTAACTTTTGCCCGGACTGGCCTCCAACCATGATCCTCCTGTCTGTGCCTAGTAGATGGGATTAGAGATATACACCACCATTTTTGCCACTCTCTTGAGTGTACTTCTAAACTTCCCCATCACTTTCTTCTACCTCATCAATCTCCTTTCTGTTCTGGAACATTCCAGAAACAGCCCTACCTCAGGACTTTCTATTCTTTTTTGTCCCTTCCTATATGCTGTCTTATTTCCTTCAGGTATTTACTCAAATGTTACCTTTTTGTGTGTATATTCTCTGATCACTGTATTTTAAATAGCAGGTATAGTTCCCTTTTCTCTGACTTTCTCCCTGTATTACTTGGCAGTATCTTTGAATTACATGTTTTACTGGGTGCTTTGCTAACTTTTCTCTCACTCTAGATTATAAGGTCCATGGGAGTAGAAATTTTTGTTTTGTTGATTACCATATTCCCATCCTTTGGGGTAATTTCTAAACATAATAGATGCTCAGTAAATATTTGTGGACTAAACAGTGGATCAATGAATGAGTTCTCTAATATTTCCTGTAAGATTAGAGAAACAAGAACATAGAAGAAAAACATAAGTGGTGACTTCAAATTTTATACATTGAAGAAAGCAAAGGTATACCTAGCTACTATTGCTAAACATCCAAAACATCTATAGCTAAATCATTCTCTGACATATGACTGAAAGTACATAAATTCTATAGCAAAGTTTTGTTTTAATCATAAAACTTGGAGGTAGATTAGCAAAATAATCATTTTCCTTTTCCATATAAAAAGGATTTTTACAAGTAGTATTCATTTGCATAATTTTAAAAGAGACTTTTTGTTGTTATTGTTAGTACTGAGGTTTAGCATCCTGTTGCTTGAGGCACACCTCTAGCACATTCTGCTTTAGGTTATTTTTCAGATAGGGTCTCTTTCCTCAGGGGCCAACCTCAGACTGTGATCCTCCCTACCTGTGGCCTCTCCAGTAACTGGGATGATGAGGGATTATAGGCATGAGCCACCATGCCCTGCTAAAAGACAGACTTTTAATCATTTATATTGAAAACTACTTACTGAAGACCTGTCAAGTGCCAAGTTCTGTAGACACATAATACATTATGATACATCTGATGCGTTAAATCACTACTTATGTTTGAGATAGATGACTAAAGTAAGTTACTGAATCATTAGTATATCCAAAATCTATTCGCTTTTACATTGTGAGACAACTTCATGATCTTTCAGAGTGTCTCCTCAGCTTACTTTACAAGCCCTAAGGGAGCGCCTTGGTGAGTTTCTTGGTGAAGATGCTGTTGCAGAAAAATTTTTATTTCTGAAATGCATCGGAAATAATTTAGCTGTGGTAAGTTTTCCTAATTTTTTCCTTCTAATTAAAGGAAAGCATACCTTATCAAATTGTATTTCTTAATGTTATGAGATGTGTAATCCATCCAAACTATAATGAAAATGGAGACATCACTAAACACACAGATCATGAAAGATGCATCTCATTGGCATATTATCTGGCACTGAAATAATGTTGTTTAATGTGTGTGTATTTCCTTGAGAAGAAAAGGAAGACATTTCAAGTTTAATCATGTAAGGAATGCATACATTTTTAGTTATTTGCTTTAGCAGTATTAGGACTTGAACTCAGAGCTTTGTACTTTCCAGGCAGGTGCTGTACTACTTGAGCCATGTGCCCAGCCATTTTTGCTTTAGCTATCTTTCAGATGGGGTCTGTGTTTTTTGCCTGGGGCTGGCCTTGGACAATAGTCCTCCTACCTACACCTCCAGCATAGCTGAGATTATAGGCACCAGCCTCCATGCCTGATGTTGATTGAAAATGGGGTCTCACTTACTTTTTTGCCCAGGTGGGCCTCAAAACATAATCTTCCCAACTTCTGCATCTTAAGTAACTGGAATTGCAGTCATGAGCCACCATGCCCAGCCCTATATTTTTTAATTTATATGGTAGTTTTTAAAATGTATTAAATAATTACTTGTGATCTGAAAAAAAAAATTGGGTTTTCATTGCTTGGGCCACAACCCAAAAGTTTGGTGTGAAAATGATATGTCTCCACCATGGTTTTGGTGTCAGATATTATCTGCTTAGCTCTCCTATTGGTAGTTTCCATGATTTAGTGACAGGATTTTCTAAGTAGAGAATGTTATTAACTGAAATCCTGAATCTTAACAAGCCATCAGATCTCAAAGTTTCTGCTCTCTCATTTCTATATTAGGTTTATTTCCTCATCAAGATTTTCCATATTTAAGCTTCTAAAAATGCAGTGTATTTTTATTCCACTCAAGTTAGCATGTCATTATCAGATGCTCATATATGTGATTATTTAGCATCTAATTCCACCATGAATTTTAGCTCCTTGTAGGTTGAGACTTTAATCACCATTGTATTTATAACCAATGCCTGACAAGGTACTTTGCATTTAGAAGTGTTCAATGTTCATCAAATAAATTAAAAAATCAATTGATAATGGAAAAAAATAGGCATTTCCCCCCAAAGTAATACTGTAATTTGCAATATAAGATTCTTGAATTAACAGCTAAATTTGAACAAGTTTTGTCATTGAGGTTCTATTTAATATGATAGAGTATTAATTTACTGATTAAGTTAGTCTTCTTCAAACAGGGAAGAAAAGAAACATAAATTTTTGTTCTTTTCCATGATATGACAATTTTTTTAAATGATATGTCAATTTTAAAGTACCAATGACTGAATTCCAGATTGGAAAGGACCTTAGAGATAGTTTAGGTCAACTTCTAAAATCCTAATATTTTGTTTTATCTTCAACAGGTATTTATGGATGTTTTTCTGTATGTAAAACTAGAACAAAAGAATTGAATATGGATCCTGCTGTTAAAGTGTATTCAGCATAGCAGTGAAGATATGATATATAAAATAAATTAATTAAATATCATCTTATATATTCAGGAAAAAAGAGAGTACTTCCAGCAGGGAAGTGGGGAGGTGGGGAACTTTGAGGAAGAATGGACTCAGGGTCTTAAAAGATAAGTATTTGGTTCTGCATAGATGAAAAGTTTTCAGAGTAGAGAAAATAGAATGAGCACAGAAGTAGAAAAGCAGGTAACTAAGGAAGAGTAGATAATTCTTTTTTCTTATTTATTTATTTGGGGGACAGGGTCTTGCTATGTAGCTCAGACTGGCCTCGAACTCACAATCCTGCCTCAGCCTCCTCAGCAATGAGATAACATACATAAACTTTGAGACAGGAATAGTAGAGTTATAAAATAGGTTGGTAAAGGTCTTGACTGCCACACTAAATGAAGTGTTGGAGTTTTTGAGCAAAAGAGTGATTAGAGCCTTTTGTAAACTTAATTGGGCCTCATTTAAGAAGAATGGATTGATGTAGGAAGAGACTGGAGACAGGAATTCCAGTTAGGTTTTTATAGTGGTTTAGGCAAGAGATAAGGACAGCCCAAAGAATAAGCTGCCTCTGCTACCATTTACTCCTTGGTCCTGCACACTTCAGCTCCAGACATCTTCCTTTGGTCCTCAAATATGCAAATTCAATTCTGATTTATGGTCTTTGCTCTTGCACCTATCTGGCAATCACTCCCCCCCACCCCTGAGTTTTGGGAAGCTAGCTGCTGCTTTCAGAATTCAGGTCTCAGCTAAAGACCTTTTGAATAGGACCTTCCCTGACCATCTAGTTTTCAGATGTTCTTTCTCCAACTTACTCTATTACATTTGCCTATTTTATTCTTATGAAGCAAAATGTAATTTTTTAACTTGAGTGGAATAATAATATACTACATTTAAAAAGTTTAAATATGGAGAATCTTTTTTTTCCTTTTGTTTGTGGTACTGGGGTTAAGCCCTGGGCCTCACAAAGTAGCAGTCTACAATTAGAGCCATGCCCCAGCCCTTTTATTTTATTTTGTTTTGAAATAGGGTCTCCCTAAGTTTGCCAGGTCTGACCTGAAACTCATAATCTTCCTGGCTCCACCTCCCAAGTAGCTGGAGTTACAACCATGGGCTGCCACACCCAGCTTAAGTATAGAAAATCTTGATTAAAGAAATAAACCATATATAGATGTGAGAGAGCAGAAACTTTGAGATCTTAAATGATTTGTTTATTTTAACTTAGTATTTGCTCACCCAAGAGAAATATAAACTCAGAGCAGGGACTTTGTCTTATTTATCATTATATGCTCACCAAGGAGAACTTTATCCGACATAATGTTCCCTCAGTATTTGCTAGCATAAATAAATAACCAATGAACTCTATGGGTTGAGCACATAGGAAATAAAGAAGACAGGTTGGACTCTGAAATCAGATTCCTTGGTTCTGAATTCCAATTTTTGGATCCACTACTTACGCAGTCTTGGGCACGTTACTTAGCTTTTCTTCACCCCAGTCTTCCTCTCTATGAACATTAGTGTCTATCATATGAAATTGTGAGGATTAACTGAGCTAATATATGTAAATGCACATGGGATAGGCCCAGGTATGTGAGCTCATGCAAGTATATACTGATATTTATTATTATTAAATAACATAAATTTCATACAGTGAATAGAAACTGCATTCTGTGGAATCTTGCCATGATTACTAGTTTTTAAATTTGATTTGTATGCAACAGATACATGCCCTCTGCAAAAAAAAGGAAGTAAAAATAATTGGAAAATGTTACAAAAGCTTTAATTTTTTCTTGTTTATTTCTAGGTGAAGAAAAAGCAAGAATCAGAACTGAAACTCGAATCATTTGCTCCTCCATATGTACGACATCTTAAACTTACACTGATTTTAAACTCACACTGCTTTTAATTGTTTCAACTATTCTTATAAAAATAAATTTCCTGTATGTTTTAGGCTCTCCAACCAGAATTATATTTGCTTCCTGTAATGGACCACTTGGGAAACATTTATTCACCATCATCTGTAGTTACTTTAGAGGAGCAGCAGGCTGATAATGATGTTGCTAAGGTTGATGTAACAATCCACAGACCAGTTAGTGTAACTTTGTCAAAGGAAGAACTCGGAAGAGAGCCCAGTTCCTTAGAAAACACTTTGAAAGATCTTAACAAAAGTCAGGAAGAAGGTAATTTTCACTACAATTGAAAAGGCAAAGAGGTTTTAGCAACCATGTCTATGAGCAAATTCTGCTTAAACCTGGCATTACAAATATAGGTATGATAAAAAGAGCTACAATTAAATTTGGGGATTAAAAACAAATTGCCAGGTGGGAGAGAATAAAACAAAGTACTACATTAAAAACAAAATCATAATAGTCATGGTACTTAAATAACATCTACCATTCTACCACCTTTACTTAATTTCATATAAAATTAAAGCTACAGGAAAAGAGAAAGGAAGTGATTTTCCTTGTAAAACCATGGTGTTATTGAGAGACCCAAAGAATCTTATCCTGGAAAGTAGTGTAGAGCCAAGGCAAAATCAGCTTTCATTTGGAAAAGCATATATATTTCAAAGAATTTAAATTTTTTTATTGGATTACACTTACCAGTTTACTAATTATGCAACTCTTTATAAGTGTCAAGTAATTCAAACACTTCAGTCAAAATTAAACTTATAAGGGCGGGGAGCTTGGCTCACATGGTAGACCTCCTGCCTAGCAAGCACAAGGCCCTGAGTTCAAACTCCAGTACCACCAGGAAGAAAAAAACCTGATGAACATAAACAAAGCTGACTATACGCTAAGCATCAATAGAAAAAAAATTAATTGAACTTTTCAGCCATATTACATAAAGAAATAAACTGTTTGCAAGGGAAAAGGAGGTATATTAAATACTTATAAATGAAGTAAGTTCCCATAAACTAATGATGACATCCATTATAGCTGCTAAATATATTATTTCCTAACTAGTTATATTTCTTGTCACCTAAACTTATGCTGTATCTGATGATGTCCCAAATTTATCACCTTTTTAAATCTTAGGCACATTTATATTTATTGTCTATTACTTGACACCAGTGAGATGTTCAGCGAAAATATTTACCTTATTTACCTGGGCCTGTCTCTGCTTTTCATTCATGACAATCACTTAAAGGATAAAGGAGGGTACAATTGAGGTACAACTCAATTGGTAGAGCACTTGCCTAGCGAATATGAGGCCCTGGGTTCAGTCCTCAGTAAGCCCTCCCAAAAAAAAAGACTAAAGCTTTGAGATGTTGGGATATTTATATTTAATGTAAATATTGAGACCATATTGCTTGCTACTCGTTTTCTTCTTGTCACATGTCTTCTATTTTCTTGCCATTTAAGGGGGTTAAGTAGTTGTTTGTGAAACAATTTTTTAGCTTTCTTTTTAAAATTTATTTTTGAATTAGCATAAATTAACAATATAAGGGGATTTCATTGTGTTAATTCTATACATGCATGCAGTGTACTTTGAACAAGTTCACCTCATTCATTATATTCCCATTTCCCTCCTCCTTTTCAAACAGTATTGGAAGGTTTCATTATGCTATCATTTATGATACAACTTTATATTAGTATTGGTTTATTCAGTATAGCTAATTAGTTATACTACATTTAAAAAATTTTAGTGGTTTCTCTAGAGTAAGAGGTCAGAAAATACTGTTTTGTTTTGTTTTTTTATTTTAAGTTATGCCCAATGGTCTGTTTTTTAGAAATAAACTTATTGGAACAGAGCTGGGCTTATCAATTTCATATTATCAATAACTGCATTTGTACTAAAACAACAGTGTTGAGTAATTGTGACAAAGACTTTATGGTCCCACTATCCTGAGATACCTACTTTAAGAACTTGGAGCTGATGGAATGGCTCAAGTGGTAGAGCACCTGCCTAGCAAGCGTGTAGCCCTGAGTTCAAACCCCAGTACTGCCCAAAAAAAAAACAAAACACCAAAATTTGGTGACTCCTACTCTGGGCTATGTATTGTGTACTTTAATTGAAATCTACTTACAAATTATACTTAACTTCGCATGTAAGAACTTTACAGAAGTATACTTCTGTTTCTTCTCTTGTGTTGTTACCAATTTTATTTTTGACAGTTATCTTTTAAAGACATTAAAATAAGGGAAGAGCTGGGTGCTGATGGCTTATGACTGTAATCCTAGCTACTTAAGAGGCTGAGATCCAGAGAATCATTTTTCCAGGCTAGCCCAGACCAAAAAAAGTTTGCAACACCCCATCTTAACCGAAAAAAAGTTATATGTGGTGGCTCATAGTGGTCATTCCAGTTAAGTCTAAAAAAGTAGATCATGGTACAGGCTAGCCTAGGCAAAAACCCAAACCCCATCTCAAAATAACCAGAGCAAAAAAGGGCTGGAAGCTTGGCTGAATTGATAGAGCCCTGTTAGCAGGTGTGAAGCTGTGAGTTAAAACCCCAGTACCAATAAGTAAGTAAATAAATAGAGAAATAACTGTATTTACCTTCATTACCATTTCTTTATGCCTGAAAATTTTCTTGTAAATTTCAAGTAGTGAAGAAGGTGTGCTAAGAGTAAATTCTGTCACCGCTTATTCTTTTCTGGGGAGGCAGTACTGGGTTTGAACTCAGGCTTCATGCTTGGTAGACAGGTGCTCTACCACTTGAGCCACTCTGCCAGCCCTTTTGTGTGTGTGTTGTGTATTTTTGACATAGGGTCTCTTGAACTATTTGCCTGGGCTGACCTCAAACAGTGATCCTCCTAATCTCTGCTTCCCAAGTAGCTAGGATTATAGACGTGAGCCACTGGTGCATGGCAAAAATGTCCTTTTTTTTTTTTTTGTCTTCATTTTTGAAAGATATTTTCACTGAGTATAAACGTCTAGTGACAAGTTTTGTTTGTTGTTTTTTGGTATTCAAAGATATCTCTATATTATTTTCTACCCACATAATTTCAGATGAGAAGACTGCTGTTATTTTTACTTTTGTTTCTTTTTTTTAAGATTTAACTTTTGTTTTCAGCAGCATGATTATAGTGTGCACAGTATTTTATTTTATTTTTTAATTAAGTCCTTAGTAGGGTTCCAGATACTGGGCTCTATGTTTTCTTTTTTTTTTTTAACTATTAATTTTGGAAAATTATTTCCATTATCTTTTTTAATTGAAATTCAGTTCTAGTTGCTGCGCAATATCAACTCTCTGAATGAATTTGAGAAAAATGATTATAAGTTATTGTTATCTCCTGGTTCAGGTGGGAGATTCTATTTGCTTTCTATAAACAGATGCAGAACTATAGTTCTTAAATTTTAATATAGTCAAATTTATCAGCATTTTCTTTTAATGGTTAGTGTCATTTTGTCTCTTTTTTCAGAAACCCTGTTTTATCCCCAAGATCATGAAAATAGGGTCCTGTGTTCCTTGCAAACATTTTATGGTTTGCTTTAATGTTTTATGTTATGTAAACATTTTATGGTTTGGCTCATTAATCTACTAGGAATTATTTCCTTATGTGTTGTGAGGTGTTAATACTTAATTTTTTCCATACATATGTATTACATTTTTTATAAAATATACTACATTCTATTGATGATAGAAATTTCTTAAAAATATTTTTACACAGATTGCCAGATTTCTCTACTGGGTCATGAGACTGTAAAATATCTTTGCTCTAACACTGAGATATTGTCCGTCTCAAAAACTGCCATTTTGACAGAAAAATATGCTCATCCTTTTTGTCTTAAGCATTTTTCTGATTCCTCATGAAGCTGAACATCTTATAATGTTGATTGACTATTTTTGTATCTTTCATATTTGTTTTTATTCATTGCCTGTTTTCTGTTGATATATTCATACTGTAATTTGATGTATAAAATTTTTGTCAGGTCATAAATATTTTTATAGTTCACAAACTAACATTGATTTTTATAATTTTCCAAAATATTTTAGTTTTTATGTCCAAATGTTGTACATTTTTATAGTTATCACTTCCTTTCCTGAGAATCTGTGATACTGTATTTTTCCTCCAAACTTTTTTTGTTTTTGCAAAAGTAAATAGGGATGTGTGTCTGCTTTGTTACGCTGCATGAGTATTACACCTAGAGCAGCAAGCACACCATGCTTTAAGCTGTTACTAGTAATGATGGAGACATGTCCTGTATTCCTGTCAAGATGAACCTGGGAATCTACTAAGTTTTACATTGTTGTTTCTGTTTTGGGGTAGGTGGGGGCATCATATTTTACTGGTTTTTCTAAATGATTCCTGTGGGGGAAATTAACACTGCTATGTTCGTGGATCTTTTTTTATGTGTATAGATCACTTAGAACATTAATGTTAATGTTTAAAGACATCTTCTTATGAGAAGGAATACTGTTTAAATGAAAGGAAATTTTATAAATGAAAATACATGTAAAATAACAAATGACATGCTATGTTTTATACCAGCATTTTCCAGAGAAGGATCCATAGAGCACCGTTTTAAAAGATGCTTTTGCAAAATATCTCTGAAAACAAATTGGAGTAATACCCAACTTATGCCCTTTTGCAGATTCCTGTTGCACATAAGAAGCGAAATCCCATTATAGGAATGGTCTGCATGGGTCGGCAGCGGGGAGGTGTTTCTGTTTAGTATCACTCAGTTCAGTGTTTCCCAAACTTAATTGACCAAAAATTTTCTTTTGACATGAATTAATGTTTCATGAAATTCACTTCAGAAAGTGTTGTTTTATATCTATATGGGAAAGGTCATGCGGATTCTGAAATAACTTTTTAAGATTAGTTTATATAAGACAATATTAGTTTATATAAACAAAATTTTATTTTAGTATTTTCTTAATATTCTGAACTTTATTTGCTATTCTTTATTTGCATGAATATCAGCTGAGGGTAAAGGCTCCCCAAAAGAAAACCAGATGGCAAAAAATCACATTGGAAATTTTGAGTTTCCAGGATCTTTGGAAGATTCAAATGATGATTATAGCAACACAAAAAGGTAATTAATACAGATGCTGATTCCACATATCATAATCTAGACTATAAGAAAAAGAATTTGGGACTGGTGGAGTGGCTAAAGAAATAATAGCACCTGCCTAGCAAGTGTGAGGCCCTGAGTTCAAATCTCAGTGCTGCAAAAAAAGAAAAAAGAGAAAAAGAATTTGGCATCCAGAGTGATGTTTGAACGACTTTTTTTTGTGGTGGGAACTGAACTGAAGGCCTTGCACTTGTGAGGCACGCTCTCTACCATTTCAGTCATGCCCACAGTCCTTTTGCTTTTAGCTTTTTTGTTGCTTTTTTTGTTCAGGTAGGGCCTCAAACCTTTTCCCTGAGCTGGCCTTAGATGGCTATCCTCCTACCTCTGCCTCCCAAATAACTGGAATTTCAGGCATATCCTACCACACCCAGCTTTTTTCTGATAAAGAGTCTCACTAACTTTTGCCTCTTACCTGTTAGAATTACAGGCATGTACCATATTGACCCTAGAAAGACTTTTAATTAGAACAAAGATGAGTGCAATTAGTGATATCTTTCATTAAGATTACCTTGGTAATGTTATATTCTAACATTCCTCTCTAATATAATGAGAGATAACTTACTATTTAAATTTACTTCTGGGGCTGAGGATGTAGCTCAGTGGTTTAGTGCCCCCCAGTACCACAAACAAAATTATTTCTTTTGTAATATTTGTATCATCAGGAATAATCTGATGACAGAAAATTTTCTATCTTTGTTTGCCTTTGTTAGAAATGATTCTTATGCCACTCTTAAATTTTTGGTTGTAAATAAATCAGTATGTTTGAGTATCATATTGGTGTCATTCATTCAAAATTATAGTATTTAGACAACAATTTTGCTTTAGTCTTTTAAAATAAAGACAAGGATTTTACTAAAATATTCACAAAGGAGGTGGAGTGGCTTAAGTGGTAGAGCACTGGCCTAGCAAGCGTGAGGCCCTGAGTTCAAACCTCAGTACCACCAAAAAAATAAAATATTCACAAAGGAACTATGAATAAAATATGTTTCTAAAATTTACAGTTGTTTTACCTTGTCATAGTCATTGGACTGTGATTTTAATTTAGTTGTAATACAATGAATGTGATTTTATTACTTATACTAACTGTAGTATATGTTGATCAGTAATGAGTTTGAAAGAAAATATGATAATAGCCTCAGGCTGACACTTTCTCTTTAAGAGATAAGGCCACTCTGTTGCCTAGGCTGACCCTGAACTCCTGGGCTCAAGTGACCCTTCTGCCTTTGCCTCCTTTGTAGCTGGGACTACAGGTACTTGCCACCTCACCTGGCTTTTGGCTTTTGGGCTAACTCTAAACATTTCTACTATTATTTTTATGTCAATAGATTGTCAAAGAAAACATTAAATGTTTATATTCATACATGACCATAAAAAGTTAATATTGGAATCATATTTTAATATAACTTTCAAATATGTCGTTTCCTTTAAGTCATTTACCTTGGAAAAACAAAGATGATACAACCATCAGTAGAAGACAGGCCAGTGAGGTATGATATTAAAATTTTTGTTTAAATGTTGTATTGCAACATAATATGTATATTGAAATTAAACTGCAGATTAAAATATGTACTTTTCTGGTTATAATACCAGAAATATATTCTAACACCAATATTGTCAACGATAGTCTGATTTTTGTTTCTGATATGAGTGAACAAACAATATGCACAAATAAGAGTGAGGAAAAATTATCTACCAGTAGTACCTTTTTGGATTATCTTCTCAAATGTTACTACTATTTTGGCAGTACTGGGGGTTTTTTTGGGTTTTTTGTTTTTTTGATGGTACTGGGGTTTGAACTCAGGGCCTCATGCTTACTAGGAAGGCACTCTACTGCTTGAGTCATGCCCCTAGCCCTTAGTATCTTAAAGGTACGTTAACCTTAACTGGCAGCTTTAGTAGCTAATTTGTAATTTAATACATTGATACCTCAGCTCTTTACAACAGATTTCTCTAATGTGTTAAGAGAAAGTATAGTAGTGGTTAATTGTTTATTACCAGTTACTAGTTACTAACTTTGTGACTTTGGATATGTCATCTAATTTGAATGGCAATAGTTTAAGGAGTCAATGAACACTATTCAAATCACTAGTTTATTTTCAAGAAATGATGGAGAGACCAAAAAAATTTTTCACTTTCTCACAGAATGAATTTACGAATTGTAAGATGTTAATAATATTTGTTTTAATAATAGCTAACAATAAGCACCTACTACCAGGCACTATTATATTTTACACATGTGACTCATTTTATGTTGGTGTGATGGTTAATCTCGATTATCAATTTGATTGGATTGAGAGACATTCATGAGATGAGTACAGCACATTTCTGGGTATACCTGTGAAGGTATTTATTAGCTAAGGGGGGAAGACCCACTCTGAATGTGGTCTAGGAACCAAATGGAGAAAAAAAGGTGGGGAGGAGAAAGTCCCCTAGTACAGGCATTCTTGCTCTCTGCTTCCTGGCTGCTTTAAGGGAAGCAATTTTGCTCTACCACACACTCTTGCTGTTATGATGTTCTGCCTCACCAAAATAAATCATTCCTTTTTTAAGTTGATTTTCTTAGGTCTTTGTCACAGCGACAGAAAAACTGACTACCTCAGTAGGCTATGATTATCATTCCCATTATACAGAGGAGGAAACTGAGATACACAGAGGTTCATTAGCTTGCACAGGTCATATGGATTGGTAGGAAGTATTAGAGCTGGGATTAGATCATATTCTTGACCACTATCATAACTGTCTTACTAAATAATAATGGGTCATGACTGGTGGTACATTCCTGTTATCCCAACTACTTGAGAGGCTGAGGCAGGAAGATCTTAGGTGTGAGGCTACCCTGAGCAACTTAGTAAGACCCTGTCTCAAAATACAATTTTAAAAAGAGCTGGAAGTGTAATTAGGTGGTAGGGTACTTACCTAGCATGTGTGAGGCCCTCAGTTCAATCCCCAGTACTGCAGATAATAATAATTATAACTACAACATAGTGACAACTAATTATATGGCATTTTTTGGGCCAATCATTATTCTCAGTGCTTTACATTTATTAAGTCATTTAATACAACTCTTTGAGGAGGTATACTATATCCCTCTTATTAGAGGAAAGACTAAAACACAGAAAAGTTGTGTTAACTTTTCCATAGTTACAATCTTTCATACTCACTTGGCAAAACCCCAATGCTATTAACAAACAACAAACCTCAAATGAGTCTTTAGCTCTGCCAACAAGCATATACTACATTTTTCTGGTCCATTACTACTCTTTGAGGCAACTCTGTCATACCACCTCAATTCCACCTTCTCTTACAATCTCATTGATAATTTTTCTTTGTGGATAAGAAACGATTTGAAAAGAACCATGACAACTCAAAATTTTATGTACAGAGTGAAATGGGGTTTGATGTTCAGGTTTTTTCCTCAGATATCCATTTGTTCCCCCACCACTTGTTAAGACTTTATTTTGCCTGTGGCATTATTCAAAAATCAATTGACTATAGGGTCTCAGATAATTTCTGGGCTCCGTTTCTGCCCCATGATTTTTTTCTATCCTTATTCCAGTACTACATGATTTTCACTACTGAGGCCCTTATCAGAAAGCATAAGATTTTTAAATGAATTGGCATTTTGCTTTCAGCACAGTTCTGATGATGGTTTTAAAGATAGTACCTTTGCTACAGAAAAAGTTATTCAGAGAGACTAAACCTAGCACCATCTCCTTCAGTCTTTCTATTGCACTTAATTTCTTTTATTGCATTCCTTTTGGCTTAAGCCCATGCTGCCACTTAGGCCAGTATTTGAACGGACAGTAAGATATGGAGCTGGGCATGGTGATGCACGTCTGTTAACCCCAGCTACACAGGAGGCAGAGATGGAAGGGTTGCAGTTGAAGCTTGGCCCCCCGGAAAAAAAGCAAGAGATCCTGTCTGAAAAATAAACGAAACCAGAAGGGCATGGTTCAGTGGTAGAGTGTTTGCCTAGCAGTTCATAAGGCCCTGAGTTCAAGTCCAGGTACTGCAAAAAGAAAAAGAAGTTGAGATATGAGTAACAAACTCTTAAAACTGAGAATCTCAGACTGGTTATTACAAAACAATTGTAATAGTTTGCTAATCTGTGTTAGTAGAAATTCAGAGGAATACTATTGGGAATATAAATTCAGACCAGAAATGAAAGAACAGAACTTTAGATTGGCTCATTTTAATGATGGATACACTTATAACTAATTCCAGATTTCATGAACTACTTTCAATAGTTGCAGGTAGTGAAAACAGTTTGCTGAATTGACAAGAACTGGGCCTATATGGGAACTTACACCAACTAAATTTGGAATGCCAGAAGTCTCTTGGTAAAGACAGCAAGATATTCAAAGACTTCAGGGGATAAAAATGACAAGAGATTATACCCTTCACCCCTTTAACCAAACATTGAGGTTAAACATAAAACAGTGTTTGTTTTATGGGCCTAGAGTGAAAATAGGAATGTATTCCCTGAGTTCCTTAGAAATGACAGGATCTGGGTGGCAGAAATCTATCTATTACATTTTATCTATATAGTAATAGAAAACTGCTCCAGAGTGATCATAAGTTGATTAAGAAATTCTTGAGAATAGTTAATTGCCATGGTGTCCCTAAGATTAAGTGATCACAGTGTCCTATCCCTCAGACTGAAATGGATAAGCACACCAGTAAGCTCTTGGTCTGTGTCACCAAAAATTAATCTTCGTGTTAGCAAATAGAGTTCTAACTTGAATAACCACATGAATACTCACATTTCCTCATTGAATTGTCATACGTTAGCCAGTGTGCATACCTAGAACCTCTGGAGTGGAGGGGAGGCCAGGTATCATCTAGGAAAGACTCCTGCTACCCAGCCACAAGTAAAAATGGACTATGAATTTCCACCTTTGTCTTCTTTAAAGGGATCAGAGGCCTGTTTTCCAGGGTGACTGTTCAAGGACCAGGAGGCACCCAGACTTTTCAGAATGAGTTCACAGTGGCTTTGAACCAATGCAAACCTTTTGGAACCTGAATACCTTAGATGGAGGTGAAGTTTTAGTTTATGGTGTGCTAAATGGGTTTGCAAATTCTCCCTGCAGGGATTTGCTGGATTTTTGAATGAATATTTTGAAAAGATTTAGCAACTGGCAGAATCCCCAAAAAATGCCTCCCTGACCCATGCAGCATGGGCAATAAGGAATGTTAGATAGAAAGGGCCAAGCAAAATGTGATAGTACTATTTATTCCTTACCAAAGTAATAAAGGGATTTTCAAATTCCTGGAGCAATTGCAGCTATATACAATAAGCAAAACTTGAAAATACTATGGAGTCACATGATTCCTATCTCAGCCACATTTGACTCTTTACTAGAGCAAATTATCATAGCATCATGCTCCTGTTGCACTACTCTGGACTTGGAAAATGTTTTTTTCTCTCCAAATAGCAGGGAAAACTAAAAATACTTTTCTTTCAGCAAATAACAACAGCAGTAGACCTTCATCGTCTTGCCAAAGGGCTGTGTCAATTCTGGTTCTTTGTCATAATCTAGTTCATGTGGAGCTTGACCTTATCATGATACCCTTAGACCTGGCAAGCTGAAAATAGTAAACACTCTAGATACCAATTTATTGAAGTTTCTGGGAATTGCATGGACATGTTGAGGTGTCTCCTTTCAAGTGAGAGCCCAGCTACCATTGAGAATGAGACAAAACACTTGATGGATGCTTTTGGAATTTGGAGAGAATATGCCATATTTGGATGTGCTCTTCTAGTCTTTTTTTTAAACCAAGTAATTTTGAAGACTGGCAACTTTGAGCAGGACCCAAACAAGAATGTTTTCAAGGTGATGCAAGAGGCATTGTAAGCAATTCTGCCACTTGTAGGGGCTTTTGTTATTGTTTTTGTTTTTGTTTTGTGGTACTAGGATTTGAACTCAACCCCACAGTTGCTAGGTAGGTGTTCTGCTACTTGAGCCACACCCCCAGCCCTATGTGTTTTTAACATCCTACTGATCCAGTGATGCTAGATATGTAGTAGATTGGAATGCTGAATGAAATCTTTCTAAGTCCTGACAAGAGAATCACAGCTCAGTTCCCTTGGTTTTGGAACAACAGCAAATTGTTGTTCTACTGCTGATGGTATTGGTATTGTTTCTGCTTTACCTATTATGAACAGTGTACAAAACAAGAGAAGACTATATGTCTGGAATTTTTAGAAATGTCTGTCTATAACTTAATTAAATCATGCCACATTTTTTACAAAATAATTGTACAAATTTATAATCCTACTAGGAATTCAAGAAATTTCCCATTTCTCTACATCCTCAGTAACACATTCTGTCTTTACACTAAAGTTTTCAGCAATCTGGTGGTGTGCTGAGTGCTATTTTACTATGGTTTGATTTTATTTTCCCTAATATCCATGAAGTTGATCATGTGTTTATAATTGATTGACCCAATTTTGATAATTTCTTTTTAAAATTATCTGTTCAGGTATTTCCACTGGGTTGTTTGCAATTTATTTCTAATAAGTAGAAGTTTAAATATATTTTAAAGAAAGTCCTTTGATACTTACCTGTGTTGTAAATAATCTTCTCTTATTTCTGGCTTATCTGTACCCCATTGTTGAATACATGTCAGACTATTCCAAATTCTTAATTTTTTCCACATTCTCTTTCTGTGACTGAGAACTGTATGTTAGAATCTCCTTTTAATAGGGTGCTACTAATTGTCCTTTCATTGCTTGTGGTTTTGGCTGCATGGAAGTTCTTAATGCATAGTTGTTCTTACGTGAACATTACTTCTTTTGCATTATGAAATGTCCTTCTTTGACTCACTTAGTGCTTTTTTGGTCTGAATTTTTCCTTTCTAGGTTTGTATAGCAAACCTGGTTTCTTTTTGTTTGTATTTATTTGGTAAAATCCTCAGTCTTCATCATCCTTCATTTTTTCAGACTTTCTGACTCACTCTGTTTTAGATATATCTTCTGTGCACAGCATAGAATTGGGTTTTACTTTGTGAGCCATCTAAAAATCTTTTTCTTTAGTAAATGAGTTATGTCCATTTATATTATTGATAGGATTAATATGTTTGGTCTCAGATTCATCATTTATTCTAAGCTTTTTTTTTTTTTTTTGGTGGTGCTGGGGTTCTAACTCAGGGCTTCACACTTGCTAGGCAGGTGTTTTTACCGCTTGAGCCACTTTGCCAGCTCTATCATTTATTTTATATTATGATTATTGTGAACCTTGTACTATGTGATCTGTTTGCTTTTTTTAACCCCCTCCTAGTATTTAGGAAGGTTTCAGGTTTTGTTCTAATGCTTACCTTTATAGTAATAAAGTTATATTAGTATTGTTGCTCCTTTTTTTCTTTTAAAAATTTATGCTTCTGTTTTTTATTTATTCACTCTGAAATTATGCTCTGACTCCTACTGGTTATGTTCAGGGCAATCAAAAACTTTCTACTTTTCTCCTTTTGTTCTACTTCCACTTTTTCCCCTTTCTCTTCTCATTTATTTTTAGTTGTATTATTTCTACTTTATATAAGAACATATTTTTGTACTAGTCTTATAGTCTCATCCCCTCACCATTGTTTTGGTCCCAGGTCTATAATTAAATGTATTCAACACTTAACTTACATTTTCTTTGGAAAAGATTTTTCAATCATCTCTTGGCTGAATAAAGCATAGCTTGTACATAACCCTCCTCTAGAAAAGACAAAGGTAAATAAGTCCTGCAGTCTGCTTAGTAAGGCCTGAAAGCTAAGAAAAAGTTTTACGTTTTAAAAAAATTCTAAAAAAAGCAAAAAGGAAAAATATAAGAGACCATATATAACCCGCATGTTTGTTTACTCTCTGGCCCTTTACAGATGTTTGCTACCCCTGCTCTGGGGCTTTATGATTGAAAGATAGTTTCATTGACTATAAAATCCTTGGTTTATTTCCCTTGAGTGTCTTTAAAATGTTGCTCTACTGATGTCTCGCTTTATATGTCATTATTTAGAAGTATGATGCCAACATTATTTTCTTTTCATTGTAAACTAAAATGTCAGAGGATTCCTTTACAGTCTGAACAGTTTTCTCAAACTATAGCTCAGTTGAGAATTCCAGGTCAGGTTTTTCTAGATATACACCATCCCCTTTTTCTCAATATGAGACATTTTGTGAAGAATGTTTTCAAAATTACAATTTTAAATAATGTGCCTGAGCTGGGCATGGTGGCTCATGCCTGTAATTCTAGTTACTAGGGAGGCAGAGACTAGGAGGATTGCAGTTCAAGGCAACCTAAGCAAAAAGTCATGAGACCCTATTTCAACCAATGGCTGGGTACAGTTATGTGCACCTCTCATCCTAGCTATGTGGGAAGCAGAAATAGGATGGGAATTAGCACAAGACCCTATCTCAAAAGTAACTAAAGCAAAAAGGTCTGGGATGTCACTCAAGTGGTAGAGTACCTGCCTGCCTGCCTAGCAAACATAGGCCTTGAGTTCAAAACCCCAGCATCACAAAAGGAAAAAGAAAAAAAAAGTTACTGTCTGTTCTATTTGATTTTTCTATTTCAGAGACCACAATTATTGTGATCTCAGATCACTTTTAGCTTTATATCACTTTCTTTCTGATCCATTTAACTACTTTTTTGGGGTTTTTTCTTCTTTTTATTTCTATTCTTTTTTGTGGTACTGGGGTTTGAACTCAAGGCTAGGATTATACCAGTGCCCTGCTCCCTGCTCCATTTTATTTCTGTTCTTTATTATCCTTACCATACATTTGTTTGTAGCTGTTCCCTCTTAGATACCTACTAATTTATTCATTTCTGAGATGATTTTGTTTTTGTTTTTTTTCTTGAGTTTGGCTAACTTCCATTTCATATCTCTTGTTTTTCAATTTTTATTTTGAGTTCTAAATTGTTTTATTGTGTTTGTTGATATCTAGAAATGCTTAATTATATTTAACTTATGTTGGGAATATTATTAAGTTTTTTTCTGCTTCTAGGATGTCTTTGTTTTGATTTTAGCTCTCAGTTGTAAGGTTTTCTTCTAAGTAACAATATCATTACTAAATTGCTTTGTAGATACTGTCCTGTGTATTTATGCTGGGTTGAACAGGGAGTGGTGGTCCATTTTCTTCCTGAGATCAGAAGTACCCTCTTCTATCACTGCAGTGAAATTCAGTTTACTCTTTTTCAAAAAAATGACACCTTTTTGGTGGTAGAGGCATCTGGATTTGGGGAGATTCCTTTCTACTAAATTAATTCAGTGAAAGTCTTATCTTGGCCACTTCCTTTTGTTTTACCAAACTAGCTCCCCCAAAAGACAACTCTCTTTCCAAAGTATTTCTCTCAGAAACTATTTCTTCCCATGACTAGCACTGCTAGCCCCTGCATTCTTCTGGCCCTTTCCCCTCAGAGAAAGTTCTCCAATCTACTAGGTCTTTGCCTTGCTCTCAGTAGTTCTCCACTACAATGGGACCCTTTCCTTCCAAACTGAACCATGGTTGGTACTTCCTATGCTATCAATATATAGTGTTCTCTGATACATAGTCCATATTTGACTCTCTCTACTCCAATGTGAGATCCTGGTCACATTCTAGAGTTTGTACTTCCCCACTTATATGTAAACAGAAAGATTCTGTGTCCTAGTTATGCTGCAAGCATAAGTATAGGTGATGTTTTTTTTCCTTCCTTGTATGGTATGAGGAAGGCTGTGTGGAGAGATTCAAATTTAGGTGGTTTCCGTTGCCCTGTAGAAACTTGATTCTACAACTTAGTAAAATGAAATAAGCTAGAAAAGGAACAATAAAACAAACAAGAGTCAGAACTTGATGAATTTTAAAGTAGGGCTTGCGGAGTGGCTCAAGCAGTAGAGTGCCTGCCTAGCAAGCATGAGGCCCTGAGTTCAAAGCCCAGTACCATCAAAATAATAATAATAATAACAAATAAATAAATAAAATGGTTGAAAGAAATAAGTAAATTTAGGAAAAAATAAAATCAAAGTATAAGCTAATGAGTTAGGGAAGTAAAAACCTAGCAGAATTGAAAATAATTTAAGATCTATAAAGTAGTAGTGGGAAAACCATCAATATGATAAGGCATGAAGTAGTTTATCAAAAAAGGTAGAAAGCAAACATTAGGAAGGATGAAGATAATATAAACACAGACACAAAGGAGTCACAAAGGATATAAGACATGCAAGAATAAAATGTACAACTGTGCTAAAATGTGATATAATCACTAATTTTCTAAGCAATTATAAATTTTCAAAATTGACTCAAGATGAAAAAAATCAGTAGCCATTTTAGAAAATGTAAGAAGTTATTAGCTCAAACCAATCAGACCAGAAATGTTGGAAGGAAATCATGATGCTTGGAAAGAAAACTACTAAGTCTTTTTAAAACTTTGTATTTGAAGTGTCTCTGTAGAATGTTAAGCAGTAGTGAGATGGAGAAGCAGGAGCATGAGAGAATCTGTAACTATAAATACAGAATCAGGAGCTTATGTAAGTGAGACAATGCACTGTTGGTGTGTATTATCAAATACTTGCAGACAAAATGCAAAAAAATATTTTACCCTGTCAGATCCTATTGATTTCCATGTTTTCTTGCAGACAGGTGAAAAGGAGCGTGTCACCCTGCCAGACCTTATTGATTTTCCTTCAATTCCTTTTCAACCTGTTCTTCCTTCAGGACTAACTGATACCTCTTTATTACAAATTGAGAGTAAGTAGTGAGGTAGTTAAAAATGTTAATGAGGAATTACTATTTACTGGGCAGTTTCAGTTTAGGAAGATAAAAAAGTTCTGGAAGCAGATGATAGTGATGGTTGTAAAGCAATCTGAATTACACTTGAAAGTGGTTAAAATGGTAAAATTTCTGTGTATATTCTACCATAATAAAAGTTATATGAATTTTATATTGATTATTGCGTATGTTTAGTCACTAATATTTTACTCTAAAAAATAGTTTCCATGTAACAAGTACAATAACTTGGGCCCAAGATAAATTTATCAAAATAAAGCATAACTTAAGCATAATTACATAGATTCTACACATGTACATGATGTAAAACACACACACTGTCTAATACATCCACTGTTAGAAACAGAAATGACTCCTCCACATTCTCTATAGTGCAACAAGAAAAACAAGAGTTTTGAATAAAATTTATTCTTGCTTTTTAGACAATTTTTAAAAAGGTTTACCCTCCCTTAGCATATGGACCACCTTTTAGGCTTTTGGCATTGATGAGTATGGGTTATAATCTCTTTAGGAGAGAAGATTATTGAACAAATGAAACAAGTAAAGGAAGAAAGAAGGTATCTGGAAAAAGTTAGAGAAGAACTAATTAAGAAAGTCGAAAAGCTATTTGAGCAAAGCAAATTGAAACGACATCATGGTAAAGTTTATTACATAGATTTTATCACTATAAAGAAAACTGAAGTTTTGCAGACTTGATACTTTAGGATAAATAATAAAGTTATCCTGTAATCCCAGCTATTTGGGAGGTGGATACAGTAGGATCATGGGTTTGAGGACAGTCCAGGGAAAGTCCCTATCACAAAAAAAAAAAAAACAAAATCCAAACAAAAGACCTGTGAGCATGGCTCAAGTGATAGAGTGCTTGCCAAGCATGTGTGAGGTCCCAGGTTCAATCCTGGATACTGTAAATAATAATAATAATAATAAAGTTATAATTAACACTTGCTATTTTACTGCTATATTTTGAGTTACATGATTGAGGGATGTTCATTCAATATAAAAGAAACAGTCATTCAACTTTTGTACAATTCATGCTTTACATAGGGCTTTGTAAATTAAAACTCATTTTTATAACTAAAATTTTTAATTCATTCTTCTGTTTGTTTATTAAATAAGTCTTAAGTGCCTACTGAATCTAGTTCTAGGGGCTGAGCAAATAGTAATAGGCAGACCAATCATGTCCTTGCTAGTGTAGGTCTTATGCCCCAGTGGAAAATGATAATCAAATATTAATGATACATCCTGCTTAATGCTAATATAAAGGAACTACAAAATTATATAGATAGGAATACAGAAGAAGGACACCTGAATTAGATGGAAGAAATCAAGAGAAGCTTCCAGGAAATACCAGATATGTAGGATCTTAAGTATGCTTCTTGGTTTCATGCTTCCTTCTACCATCTATTTCTTTTTTTCCTACCTTCTCTTCCTACTCTCTTCTTCCTATCCCAGTTCACCTATTTATTTCCTATAAATCATTTCATATCAGCCTAGATATCATTTATTCTAGGAGTTGTCTGAATCACTTGGTCTTCTCTTGGTGTTTAATTTTTGAGATATGTGTGTCTGCCTTGCTAAAGTGAATGAATGAGGAAAGTTAGGAAAATTAAGTAGTTTTCTTACAATAGAATTAGAAATGGTATTGTTAGGACTGGTAGAAATAGGAACATGAGCCAGGGTGAAGAAAGTATAGGACAGTGGTTTAAGAGGCTTACATTTTGGAATGTAAGGATAAAAAATGTATATGTGGAATTAATTGGTTTTAGGATTCTCAGCTTATGGGAAATTTGTTATTTAAGTAATAGAACTGACTGAAGGTTATAGACAACGTCAGGAGATTTTTCTAATGATTCTGCCTCATAGTATGGGTTTGTTATCCTGGAAGTAGTGGCAATGATTTAGCCTTGCAGTAATGTTAAAAGAGTGATTTTATCAGACAGATTTCAGTAATGGACTAGAAATCATAGGACCTGGTGTCTAGTACTAGATTAACCTTTTACTTAAGCAAATTAGTTCCCTTCCTTGAACCTCTCACTCTTTTGGTATATAAAATGTAAGTGATCAGTCATTTTCTACTTCAAGAGGAATATTTCAAGATAAAAGGTATTTATTAACCATCAAATATTTAGTGAGCTTTCTGTGTGCCAGATATGTTTTAAATGCTGAGGATGCAACAGTGAACAAAATAGACTTGGCCCTGTTCTCTTTTGGTTTTTAAAATTTATTTATTTATTTATTTATTCTTTCTTTCTTTCTTTCTTTTTTTGCTGGTACTGGGGTCTGAACTCAGGGTTTCATGCTTTCAAAGCAGGCACTTGCAAGGACCTGCTCTTAAGGAGCTTGCTCCCATATGGAAAGGAAGAAGACAGTAAGCAAATAACTAAGGCATAATCAACTACTAATCAGAGTTGAGAAGATAATTAAAAAGACTAAACAGTGATGCAGCATGGGAGAGGTGCTTTAACTAGCGTTTTCAAAGAAAACATCTCTGAGAAGATATTAAGATAAGGAGACAGACATATAAAGAAATGGGGTAAAAACAATCTGAATAGAAGGAACAATAAATATCAAGGTCCAGAGATAAGAATGACCTTGTGGTATCCAGTACTTGAAATAAGGTACATAATAAAAGGAGGAATGTAGACAAAAATCAGAAAGCTCAGCAAGGAGCAGAGAGTCTAAGTCATAGAGTTCCGAGTTTATTCTAAGTAAAGCAGGAAGCTATTGGAAGATTTTTAAGCTAGAGATTTACCTGATTTTTAAAATATTTTAGTGGCTGGGAGTGTAGCTCAGTGGTAGAGCACTTGCCTAGCAAGTGCTGCCTTGGGTTCGAGCCCCAGCACTCCCAAAAATTTTTTTAAAGATCAGAATAATTGTATGGAATAACCTTTATATGGGTAAGACTGGAAACAAAGAGACCAGTTAGGAAGACAGTGAAGCTTTTTTGGTAAAAGATAATCGTTTATTGTCTAGAAATGTAGCATTGAAGAATGTGAAATGTACCAGATGCTGGAAGTATTTTGACAGTAGTACTGTAGTACTGTTCATTAGTAGTAATAGTAGTAGAAATTTTAAATAACAGGGCATGGGAGAAATAGCTAAAATCTTTCTGAAGTTCCATACAGCTATATAGCTGTCATCAAATCACCTTATAAGGTAGACTTGTTGAATTTAAAGTTTTCATGTCTATGATATTCTAAAAGAAATAATCATAAAATATTCTGATATACTCATATGCAGATTGTGTTCCTGTTAAGTTTGTATTTAGAATCTCATTGGTGTCAAAGTGACTGCCAGAATTGTTATTATTTCATTTCTGATTTTCTCAGTAAAAGGCCTCAGGTTTGAGAAGCTCTGCCTTATAGAACTTTAGAGATGTATTTGGAATAATTTTGAAAAGTAATGAATATGAGTCATCTAATCTCATAAAATATAAATCATTATGGTGACTGAAAGATAAATCTTTTGAAATATGTATCATGTCTTTTACTTTAAAAAGTAATCAAGAGGTAAGACACCTAAAAAATTAGCTAGCATTTGTTGCCCTCAACGCAGAGAAACTAAAGCAGATACCTTAAAAGCAACTGAGGCCAATAGGAAAAGGGGACCAGGAACTAGAGAAAAGGTGAGATCAAAAAGAATTAACCTAGAAGGTAACACACACGCACAGGAAATTAATGTGAGTCAACTCCCTGTATAGCTATCCTTATCTCAACCAGCAAAAACCCTTGTTCCTTCCTATTATTGCTTATACTCTCTCTTCAACAAAATTAGAAATAAGGGCAAAATAGTTTCTGCTGGATATTGAGGGGGTGGGGGGGAGAGGGAGGGGGCAGAGTGGGTGGTAAGGAAGGGGGTGGGGGCAGGGGGGAGAAATGACCCAAGCCTTGTATGCACATATGAATAATACAAAAAAAAAAGTAATCAAGATAAATATATACATTTTGGTATAGGCAGTATTTTTTAATAAAGATTTTTCAGAAACTAGGTTTAAAGGAAAACTTGGTTGTGGTTCTTGGATTATTTTACTATTCTACGTAATTTGTAAAATTTTTTGAGACAGTCTGCTGTGTAGCAGCCAGCTAGCCTCAAATTCAAGATCCCCCTGCGTCTGCCTCTCAAGTGCTAGAATTACAGGCATGCACCACTATGTCTAGTTAGGTAATTTATTTTTATTATCTAACAAACATTTCTCTCTTAGCTCTAATGTACTAAACATATAAAAGATGGAGAAGAAGAAAGGAGGAGGAAAATTGCTTAAATTGCCATTAAATCTAGGGTCCTTTCTACATTAAAAAGTTTAAGCCTTTAACCATATTCAACCTATAGCCTTTGTGTTTTGGTTTTGGTTTGGTTTGGTTTTGTAGCCTGTGATAACTGGAAGAAAAAATACTTTGAAACAAAGAAAATCACTGCATCATTGGAGGATGTTTTAACAAAACTTCGAGAAGATTTGGAACTGTACTATAAAAAATTGCTTATGCAACTTGAAGCCAGGGAGATCAAGATGAGACCAAAGAACTTAGCCAACATCTCAGACTCTAAGGTAATACTAAATGTGCTCGCCTTCTACTAGAAGAGTTCTGTTCAGAAAACATGCTCTGTAATTGTTGTTATTACTGTATTTAGGATGCTACAGGTAACAAAACTGTGACTTAAACTTGCTTAGACAGTAACAAAATTCATGACCTCACATAACAGGAGGAGGGCTACTGAAGAGATGACCATCAGCAGATTAATGATGTCATTAGGGCCTGGATGCTTCTGATATTTCCTCCCTATTGTTTTTACTGCTGGCTTTGTTATAAGTCTGCTTTTTCTGATAATCGCAGCAGAGTTGCCAATGGCAAGAAGGGCTATATCTCTCCAAAACAAGAGAGAGCTTTCTCTGAATCATGCAATATGTAAGTCTTTCCTTTTAGCCTGGTGGGGGATAAACTAACCTAACTCTGAATCAATAATAATTACCAAGGAATGCTATCATGTGATGTTATACCTTAGACTAGCTAGCATCTATCTCTATCCATGGGAATAGAGCCACATTTCCTGACTCTATGGCAAGAGATGAATACTGGATGAAGTGGGGTAGGGCCAACAGTGTCCACTACAGTGCATGTTTTAGAATTTGGGGAGGGTATGACACTCACAGAATTTAAAGGTATTAATATTCTTGTGAAATTATATAAAATTTAGATCAATTCGTTTTTTTGAAATAGTCTTAAATCTTAGATGAGAGGTATGAAGTTTATTTTATTATTGAGTAACTATACCATATAATTAAACAGCAGATAAAATATTCCAGGGGACACATAACAATATGATTTTTGTTAGATTAATCCCACTTGTCCAAAAGATTTTAAAATATATTAATTATAATTAATAATAAGGATTAAACTTTAAACATGATGAAATATTAAAAGTTTACTATTTTGGAGAAATTTAATATAAAATCCAAATTGGTTCAAATAATTATTTGTCCATATTAGTTGATATTTCTTAGCACAGAATTTTTTTAGCATAAGAATTGTTTTCAAAATAAAAGTTTAAAATTTTTAAATAACTTCTTTAGTGAAGACTGCTATACCTTATAAACTTTTCTGGATGAAAGTAGTCAAAAAGTTGTCTTATTTTAAGTAGGTTTGCATAAAATGTGTTTCATGATTAAATATTTAAAAGTAATTCTTAATTCAGCTGATAAAGCATTATGCCAATTTCTAAATTCTTGCTATTGTCTTACACCTAGCTTATTCCTCTCATAATAATAGTTATTAGCTTATATGGTACTAATTGAATGGTAGCTTTTACAGATATCAGTTTTTTACATAATAAATGAATAGTGGTAGATCAGAAAGAAGCCCCTAAAAGTATAAAAAAGCAACAGAAAATAATAGTAGTAGTTTTGCCAAAGCGGTAAGTTCATTTTATGGAACAGATTGTTCTCATAACTTGCTCTTTTGATATTTATCACTTCACAGTTTATATTTGCAAGACAGTTTATTATAAAGTATATAGGTATTATACTAAATACATATATCTTTCTCTGTCTCACACAGAATTACCTTATAATCCAGATCACTGAGGTACAGCATGCAATTGACCAACTTAAGAGAAAATTGGATACTGATAAAATGAAACTCATAATAGAAGTTAAGGTAATCTATATTTCTCCTAATCATAAATATTTTGATATTTTAACCTTGTGTGTCAATAGTATAAGGGTAGTCAGGATTGACTTTCTTAAAAGTTGTTTAGTTTAGCAATAAAGAGTATAAATGAAAAACTGTAAAAAGAAAACCTGAATTCTGTGGAAAGATGAATGTTATACAAGACCAAAAGGAGACTTAATAAAACTTCACTGAAAGTAATTAAAGATAGAAGGACCCTGTAATTCAGTCCAGTCTTAAAAAATATTTTAAAAGTAGTTTTCTGTATTAGAGTCATTCATAAATAAGTCTGATAAAACTCTGAGCACTCCTTTCACATCTCACTTATTTTTCTCCTCACTCTTGGGTAATTATTTCATTCTCTCTGGTTATTTTCATATCTAGTATCTAGTAGATACTCAGTTCCCCTCAGGGTAGAGGCTATGCCTTAGTTAACTTTGTTTCTCCCTTAGCATCTTTCATACAGTAAATGCTTAGTAGATGTTTCTGGACATACTTTACTTATTTGATAAAAATATCACACCATAGGAATACTCACTTGAAAAATAAGTATCCTTTTTTTTTTTTGGCAGTGCTAGGGATGTGATCCAGAGCCTTGTTTATGCTAGGCAAATGCTCTACCTCTGAGCTATATTCCCAGTCCTAGATATCTTTAAAAAACTTGTTGGAAAAAGACACAAGAGGACAAGTACAGGAAAGTAAGAATGACATTACAGGAACACTCCATTAAAAATTGCTTTATAGGACAGAATAAATACCCTTTCCTAGAATTAGCACTGTCCATTAGAATTTTCTGTAAAGACAGAGATGTTCTATACCTCATTTATTAGTATATTAGCCACTACCACCTATGAATAGTGAGTGCTTGAAATGCAGCTTGTGTGACTAAACTAAATTTTAAATTTTAACTTTAGTTAATTTAGTAGCTGTCTGTAGCAACTGCCTACTGTTTTTGGTCAGTGTAGTTCTAGATTCTTTTCACTGTTCAGAATTCTCAAAGCTAAGCTTAAAACTTTAAATACAGAAAAGGAAAAGAGCAAAGGACAATTTTTACCAAAATACGAGTTAACCATTCTTATATATTATGTTCTCAAGAATAATTTGAACAGTGAATAAAACATTCAATATGTGGAGAGAAAACCAAGATGGAAACTTGAACACCTAAGGATAGTTAGATGAGTAGAAAGAAGTAATAAAAATACCCCAGAACTTTCAATATTTGCTCTGTTCTTCTGTAAAGCATGTATGTTAGAGCCTACCCATTTTGTACATTTCAACCTTATAAATATCACTTAATGGTTTGAACCTAAATAATTGTTAGTACAAAAATAATAAAGACATCAGGGTGCCAGTGGCTCACCCTATAGCCTATAATTCTAGCTACTTAATAGGCTGAGATTGGGAGGATTATGGGTTCCAGGCTGCCCAAACAAAGCACAAAAGTTTGTGAGATGCCCCCATCTCAATGGACAAACAAGCTGGGTGTAGTGGTTCACACTTACCATCCCAGTATATGAAGCCTAAAATAGGAGGATCATAGTCCAGGCCAGCCTGGGCAAAAGCCAGACCCTATCTCTAAAATAGTCATAGCAAAATGGGCTGGAGATGTGGTTCAAGTGGTAGAACTCCTGCCTACCAAGCAGAAAGCCCTGAGTTCAAACCCCAGTATCACCAAAAGAATAAGTAAATAAATAAAGACTAATAAAACAAAACAGCTTTCAGCTTGCACACTGGGAAAAAATTTCTATGTTTCTATAATTTATATATTTAACCATAATGTCTCAGTGACACATAACAGGTAAGTAGTTACCAGTTTCTGAATGAATTACAGAAAACATCCCTACCAATAATATCCAGAACTAAGGAGCAGAAAATCTAGCCTGAGTCTTGCTGCAACCATATTTATTCAGAATAGTGTAGTACAAGTACTTGAAGTTTATCTTTCTTACCTGGAGAACTGTTTTTCCAAATTGCATCACCTAGCCAGGGGCCAGTGGCTCAAGCCTATAATTCTAGCTACTCAGGAGGCAGAGATCAGGAGGATTGGAGTCGAGTAGGGAGGACTGGGGATTCTTTTTTTTTTTTTTTTTTTTTACATTTTTTTAAATTTTTATTTATTTTTTTATTATTCATATGTGCATACAATGCTTGGGTCATTTCTTCCCCCTGTGCCCACCCCCTCCCTTACCACCCACCCCACCCCCTCATTCTCTCCCCCACCCCCCTCGATACCCGGCAGAAACTATTTTGCCCTTATCTCTAATTTTGTTGTAGAGAGAGTATAAGCAATAATAAGAAGGAACAAGGGCTTTTGCTGGTTGAGATAAGGATAGCTATACAGGGAGTTGACTCACATTAATTTCCTGTGCGTGTGTGTTACCTTCTAGGTTAACTCTTTTTGATCTAACCTTTTCTCTAGTTCCTGGTCCCCTTCTCCTATTGGCTTCAGTTGCTTTTAAGGTATCTGCTTTAGTTTCTCTGCGTTGAGGGCAACAAATGCTAGCTAGTTTTTTTAGGTGTCTTACCTATCCTCATATCTCCCTTGTGTGCTCTCGCTTTTATCTTGTGATCAAAGTTCAATCCCCTTGTTGTGTTTGCCCTTGATCTAAGGTCCTCATATGAGGGAGAACATATGATTTTTGGTCTTTTGGGCCAGGCTAACCTCACTCAGAATGGTGTTCTCCAGTTCCATCCATTTACCAGAGAATGATAACATTTCTTTCTTCTTCATGGCTGCATAAAATTCCATTGTATATAAATACCACATTTTCTTGATCCATTCGTCAGTGGTGGGGCATCTTGGCTGTTTCCATAACTTGGCTATTGTTAATAGTGCTGCAATAAACATGGGTGTGCAGGTGCCTCTGGAGTAACCTGTGTCACAGTCTTTTGGGTATATCCCCAAGAGTGGTATTGCTGGATCAAATGGTAGATCGATGTCCAGCTTTTTAAGTAGCCTCCAAATTTTTTTCCAGAGTGGTTGTACTAGTCTACATTCCCACCAATAGTGTAAGAGGGTTCCTTTTTCCCCGATTCCTCGCCAACACCTGTTGTTGGTGGTGTTGCTGATGATGGCTATTCTAACAGGGGTGAGGTAGAATCTTAGTGTGGTTTTAATTTGCATTTCCTTTATTGCTAGAGATGGTGAGCATTTTTTCAAGTGTTTTTTGGCCATTTGAATTTCTTCTTTTGAGAAAGTTCTGTTTAGTTCACTTGCCCATTTCTTTATTGGTTCATTAGTTTTAGGAGAATTTAGTTTTTTAAGTTCCCTATGTATTCTGGTTATCAGTCCTTTGTCTGATGTGTAGCTGGCAAATATTTTCTCCCACTCTGTGGGTGTTCTCTTCAGTTTAGAGACCATTTCTTTTGATGAACAGAAGCTTTTTAGTTTTGTGAGGTCCCATTTATCTATGCTATCTCTTAGTTGCTGTGCTGCTGGGGTTCCATTGAGAAAGTTCTTACCTATACCTACTAAC